TGGAGATTTCCGTGTTGTTTTCTGATTTTCATCATCCAATAAGATAAACTTGAAGACCGAGGTTTAAACTTGGTGCCCCTGAATCCTCAAACACTCACAAAAACCCAAGTTTTGGGCCTACAAAGGAGGCTAGTATTTCGGAGTGTATATAAAATCTATTTGTCTTTTATATACACACCGGGAGTGTATATAGCCACGGCGACCATACAAAAGTCTCTGTACTTTTTTGTTGTGTCAATAAAGAATCTATATGTAGCGGGACCATGTTTGAGCCCAGCCTTCCAACTACCACACGAGGCCATTGTCACAAAAGTCACATGGCACAAGAAAGAACTTCTTCGCATCAAGAGTCATAAATAAGGGTGTGGAACTCTCTTTCTCAAGAAACAGTATCAAGCAAGTCAGTAAACAGTTTTAAGAACCATAAAGACAAGTACAACTATACATTCACATATTGACCACAAGTGCACATGAGAAGAATTGCTACTGCCAAAAGATACCCGAAGAGCGGTCTCATTACCTATCAACCGTCTACAGGTGAGAATACAGGTGAAAAAAAAATTATGGTCACAGTTGCATACAATTAAACAATAAACTAACGCTACCTATACATACTAGAAATGATACAGTAAGGACCAAGAGTGCATACATCATCCTCAAAATCAAATCAGTGCAACCACAGTGACTGCTTCATACAATGATATTCCAATGACAGATACAATTTGGCAAATTGAATTAAGTATGAAAATCCAGTAAAATACCAACGAATATGAAAACCTCCGATCCAAAAGCAAGAATACGCCTGTCCCAACAAAACCGAAATTAGACTTTTTTCACTTGTACACAGGTTTAATTTTGGGTGCTCAGAAGTGCATAATATATGCACAAAGTTAATTTTAGCCTTGGGAAGTCTTGTTATGCTACATTTTTGGCGGGAACGTTGGGTGGTTTTAATTATGCGGTACACGTGCGGTAGCATTCCAAAAGGTGTTCATCGAGCCAAACTACGGACATTTCCCACAAAAAACGTGTTTGTAACGGTTTGTAACGCGGAAGAAATATATTCATTGTTCCTCAAAGCCATGATATTATCAAGAAAGCCTCCATATAAAGTATAAAAATGGCCTAACACATACATTTATGGACGATAATGCCGTTCTACTAACTCGGGTTTCTACGGAATGTAACGGTTAACATAACAAAATATAACGTGACTTGTTGCTACAGGTTTGTTGGAAGTAGAAACATGTACATTCAAGGAAATTGTTTGTTGCCTTACCTCGCAAGAATGAGTCTTCTCAGCACCACGCCGTCCCTCCCGCCATGACAGTCGTTTCTTGCTCAAACTTCGCTCTGCCAGGAAATGCGCATCTTCTCCCTCAAACATCCAAAGAACGGCATTAATCCATCCTGGAAACGTTCCTACGATATACTATGCACTTTGGACGGATAATTTGCTGACAACAAGTCCAAAATTTACCCCCAAAGGTTGGAGAGAATCCGTGCACACTTAAGCCACACGACAACGTGGGTCACACAGCTTGGCTGCAGCTGGTCGAACGGACCGTACCATATGTGATAATTACATAGGGGTGTGAACAAGATTAATCATTAATGCCCTTGATAATTAACCATCACCATTCCACCACCAATCAAAAGCCATCCCACAATTTTGGACTTGCTTTCTGTACCAAACCCAACGATCAGAATACCTTCTGCCATAGTAAGTGTTTATATCCCCAAACTTGTGGATGACCGCCCCCCCCCCCAATTGGTATAATTAGTTTTACTTGTGGACCTCTCCTTGGTGCTGAACTCACCATCAGCTCCATGTATTGCAGTATTTCTCGTGATTCTACCATGATAGTCCGATCCCTTAGGTGGAAGTATTGACGATGTGTGGGTTTTCAAGTGAATCCCGAACTTGAGGCACAGTTTCTGTCTACGCCCTGAGAGCAGTGGGAGGTCTAAGTCTTTTCTGGCCTGTTCATAGCCTGTGAAGCGCCCTCCAGGAAAGAACAACCTTCCCGCGACCGGACTCCCTTGGTCCATTTTAGATTTTACTCTCTTTTAAGTCGGATTCTACGATCCGTATTCCCATAGCAAGGCCTGGTGGAGGTTATGTTTGTTCACAGCCACTCCCATGTCAGAGGTGACGCTTTGACATTTCAACAGCATAAGGCCACACCAATTTAATTTCTTGGTTAACGGATTTTTAAAGAAAAATAATGGAGCGGGCGGGCGAAAAAATAATAAAAATAAAAACAGACCTAGGCATCCTATTATGGCCCAAAATGGTACGATAGGAGCCATGAAGTCAACATACCAGGCTGGTTCAAAATTTAAGCAATGAATTTTGAACTTTGAATGATACCACTGCATTGAAAGATAGAATAACTTTAACTACTAGGATGAAAAGGACTGTTTTCAACTGTTCAGGGCAAAATATGAGCATTTTGCAGTTGATTCTGAATTTTTATTTTTATTTGCAAATCAGAAAAAAATGAAGCGGCGAATCCGTTAACCAAGAAATTAAAATGGTGTGGCCTAAGGAGCTTAACTTGCCGAGTATCTGAAGTGGAGAAATTTACTTAAAACATAACTTATTAGTCTGAAGAAACATGGTCTTGACTCAGATGAGTACTATTGATGTATGCACTAGTAGGTTTGTGCTGCCGACGCGAGTATGCCTGACAGGTCTGGCGTCTGCCACCCAGGACTTGCAACACAACAAACATGCAAGATGGAGCAGGTTGAAAGTCAGCACTTGTAGAATCATACAGGGCTATTTTATAATACTGATCAGTTCTGCCAACCTAATACTTTCTAGCATGTGGTTTATACCCCCCTGTATGAAAGATGTGAAGACCACTGCCCAAATTTCTAGTCAAGTCTCTGACACTCACTTGGTTACCTTCAAGCCAGGGCGAATCACTTGGCAGGCAACTTAGAAACCTGAACAATCTTGCTCAGTTTAAATGTCAAATGTCTTGTTATATGAACACCACATCACTATACAGTATTACTGTGTACAACTCCTGAACGTAATGTGAACATAGAGGTGTAGGACTAAGTTCTTTTGAGTGTAAATATGGGTTGGTGGAAAAAACTGTCCAGTCTGGACTGGTGTAAATATTAGTACTTTATGAGTGCTATGAAATAAACTAGTTCTCAACAGTTCAAAGCTGTCAAGTTTTCTTCCAACACGACTGTTTATAAACAAAGCATCAAAATCAAGAAGAAGTTTATCATGCATTCTTTATAGTCTTTAGAATTAAAGCCATGTATTTATTTTCATTTATATTATCTCTGTATATGTGAAACTCATTAGTATACCTCAAATCAAAGAATTAGCACTGACAAGTATGAAAAGCCATGTTTATTTCTTGGAAGGATATACAAACCATATGAATTTCCATCAGCTTGTCAGGTAAATACATGTACAGGTCTACAAAAATGCCAATTTTGGGAACGCTTTCTGAACTGTAGGTATGAAATGTTGGGACAAGCAAGATCTGCTATAATTTTACACCTAACATCAGATGTTCACATTAAGATGTCTGGGACGTGATTGAATCTCTCAAACCTTAATAAGTAGCATCCAATCATACAAACTGTCTTAGCCTTACAATGATATAAACCCTTAAACATAGTGTCTTGAATGTTTGGCCAATACTTACTTTCCATCTACATGTCATACATACATGAAATTGCTTCATGCTGTTTTCCTATCTGGTGGGTGGAGGGGGGACAGGGTTGGGGGGTGCGGGAGGGGGAGGGCCGCCTGGGGGTGCCCCTGGTGGGGGGGCTCCCGGGGGTGGGCCACTGGGGGGTGGGCCTGTGGGAGGTGGGCCTGTGGGAGGGGGGGCACCAGGAGGCAGACTAGGCGGCCTTCCTTGTGGGCCCCCTGGAGGTGCGCCTGGAGGAAGTCCCGGCATGTTGGGTGGCCCACCCGGTGGTCCCGTAGGTTGGCTGGTCGGCGGCCCAGGCTGGGAGCTAGGGGGAACCCCTTGCTGACCAGGGTGCATGCCCATGAAGCCTCTGGGTGGGCCATGGAACCCAGGGGGCATGTTTGGATCCCTGGGTCCCCCCTCCCCTGGAGGCCCCCTGGGATGGAACATCCCCGGATGCATCCCAAAAGGAGGGGGTGGCCCCCTGGGTCCCCCTGGAGGGGCCATGTTGGCAGGGGGTTCCGGCATGCGTGGGGGGCCAGGCGGGGGGCCGGATGGAGGGCCGGTCTGGGGAGGGCCTGAGGGGGGTACACTCGGCTGCTGTTTGGGGTCCAGCTTGAAGTGAAACTGTAGGAAAAACTGGGAGAAAAAAACAGAGCTGTTAAACAGTGTCTATAACACAAGAAAGGGCAAAAAGAGAAATCTCATACATGTTTACACTTGAAAAGGTTGTATACAAACTCTGTCCTTACCTGATGCATTCCTCACATGATTTTTCTGTCATAAGAATTCTTAGGAAGGCTATTACAGAACTGAACTCGGATCATCAAGCAATTAAAATTATTAAGCAAGTTTAAACTGTAATTTCCAACACAAGGTTTTTCTTGACTAAACAACTCCAGTCTTTGTCAAGGATCTATGATAACCTTTTCCACCAAAAGACAGTTTAATTCTGTATAACAATGTGACAGTACTGTTCCTTTACTGAGTAACTCAATCGGATGACAAAGTTGGTTGGTTGTACCTGTTTTGTCTCCCTGTTCCACTGAGTCCAGAACTTCCCTTCACTCTTATCAACCTCTCTGCTGGGGATCTGTGGGGTAAAAACATTCAAGTTTATGTTAAAGTGATCAAAACCAAAGTAAGTACGAGTTCACCATACTTTCCATAAGTTCTGTTCACTGTATTCAACTTAAAATACTCTAAGTCAATACTGCCCAAGAAGACCACTTAAGTGACCTATACTGTCTTTGTGGACAGGTTGTTATTATTGGTTACACTTATGAAAGGTTAGTGTATCTGCTTTTTTTCATTTGCAAACATGTACAGCCATGCAAGCACCCCAGCTGTATAATCAGTCCACTGTCATGTGCTGTACAGTGTACTCCTGTTGCAATTTGACAGAAAGAACACAGTCTCACCTTGAAGGCGATGTTCTCATAAGGCTCCGCTGCGAAGATGAGGTACTGCCAGCGTCTGTCAGGGGGCTCTACTCTCTGTTCGTACGCAGACATGAAGCGGTGTCGTGGGGAGATGCCCTCCACTACCTCAGGGTAGTCAATCTGGGGAAAAACAACAAAACATCAAAGGTCTGCAGTAAACTTTTTCATACACTGTGTTACTGTGAGTACATATGTCAAAACACGTACCCTCATGCAAAACTGTATAAACTACAAAATAACTAAAAGTTTCTGTACTTAACAGACGGTAGCTTTCCCCGTGTCTTAACATTTAGTTAAAGCTGTTAGGTCCAATCTGCAGTTTGCAAGGACACTGCTAGGTGCATGGTTGGCCCAGACAGTAGAATCCCATTCTCGTTCTATTGTTTTTTTTTACACATGCATATTTCCGTGATGCTTTAAAATAAGTTGGTACTTTGATGCATGCAGCAATAATAACCGTGAACAGTTTTAGGTGTCTGAGAGGCAGAGGCTGTATTATCAGACCTACCTGGTACAGCAGACTCTGTTGTCCTGTTTCTGGGTCTCTTTGTTTAGTAACTAGACAAACAAAACAAGAAGTCAGTTTTAAGGGGTTTGCAAGATTTACCACACAGTTATATTACATGATTAAATGATATCATATGATATATAAACCTTGAAAGGCTGTGTTGTATTTTGAAATTCATAAGGATAAGAAGACTCTCTGATGTGGTACTAGTAACCTTTTGACACAAAACTCAGAGTTAGACAGCAAGCAAGGACAAGTCAGTAACACTCTCTAACAGAATATAACAAGTACTAAACATCATAAAGTAACAGTTACATGTATCAAAGGTAGCTTACCTTTGTAACCTGGTCTGCCAATCTTGACAAACTTCTTTGTTTCCACCCTGTCTCTGGCAGGAGCTGGCTGTGCAGGAGAGTCCTTAGCTTCCTTTGCCGCACGTCGAGCCCTGGAAAAGGAAAAACAATTCAATTCAAACTACCAATGATGTGTCATACTATTATTCTCAACTTGCCTCAATAGCATTAAGAGTTTTACTGAACATATTGATAAGTCAAATTATTCATAATATACTATGATATATATCATATAGGAAAAGAACTTCACTTACAAGTTTGCCTGATGTTTCTTTCCTTGGGTATGTGCAAGATAACTTCCCTGGGGACAACAGGAAAAAGAGTTACAATAGGAAAAAGAGTAGTACATTTCTTCTTCTTCTTGAAAACCATGATCCAACAATCTCATTTTGTCTGTCAATAATAAAAACAAAATAATGTCAAACGATAGAAAGATGAACAAAAGAAAACCCTAACTATTCTTCACCTCATTGTTGTGAAGAGTGAGACACAGTTTGCACTCGTACGACCCCAGATGGTTCTTCATAAAATATGGATCCTTGTTGAGATCGATGGTTTCCAGTGCCAACTGTCGGAGCCTCTCCCGCCGGTCCCGGTTGGTCTCCGAGGTGGAGGCCACCCCGCCGCTCCCCGTCTTCCCGCCAGCGCGGTTCTGGAAGTCCATCGTGCCGTTGGCGTACCGTCCACTCGCCTACGATGAAAACACTGATGTTGTCTAGTTTGATCGCTCTTGTGTTGTAGAAAACTCTACTGTACTGTAGTGAGAGAATGGAAGACAACTGTTGAAGAAATAATGCAGAAATATTATTAGATTCTAAATATATTTGCCATTAACAATGGCTGTATACACCAAACTATATCTGATGTCTTAAAAAATTTTTTATATAATTTATGGTGAGGTGCATTAAGTTTTATAAAAATTCATAATTTCATAATTTGAAACATTTGTGGTGATCACTTGTTTTATACAATAATTGAAACGTATTGTTACAAATTCTAGTCGACTGCAGTGAACAAAGTCGTAGTTACTCTTCCTACAGTTTGTTACAAAGAAACCATGCCCCCCTCCCCCAAACTGCACACAAATCGCATGCGGTTGTTCACAACTAAGCTGATTTCTGCCGAATCTAGCACCTTTGTTACGGATTAGAGAGACCAGCGCTCTTTTATAATGTTATTTGCACTCTCCTAATGCTAGATTTCTGAGAAAATGTTACATACAGAGATGAAAATGATGACAAACCTGCAAAAGTTACCGCATCTCACGTTCACCAAACGCACCTACGCAGTGAAGGATGATGGGAGATTTTATTAGGGACAAACCGTTCATCATGTTTACGGGTGGCTGAGATACACCTTTGTTTACTTACTTGAAGTTACTTCTCTGTTACTTCGTTCAGTATCTCAAAAATTCAAGATGGTAATACGCTCCATTAGATTTTAAATACGTTATATACCTATTTGCCATTGGAAAAATCGCTGTAGCTCGTATTGAGGATCGTTGAAATGGGAGTTACTGCATTTTCCCCTATTGACCTTTAACACAGATTGAGGGCCGCGAAACGTGTAACATTGGTTGGTAGAAGATACATTTTTGAACCAATCTAGCAATACAGATTGATACAAAATGATATCAGTTTTCCACTTTAAAATCAGTTATCGTTAATTCTCTTTGCTTGTTAATCTTTTCCAATGGTAGTTTATATTTTTTGTGAAGTTGTAAATAAAAGTGTTTATGTTTAGACGCCCTCTCACGGCTGCTGAGTTGGACAAGTAAAAAACTCTTGAGTTTTTCAGCCAAGTCTTTGCTTTCTACCCGCCTTTCTCAAATAAAAGAAATGGAGATCCGGAAAGATTTGCTGGAACTTCAGCTGTCCGAGCTGGATATGCTGATGAGCATGTACCCCGGAGGTGACGAACTTGTGCTGGACAACCCCGCGGCACCCACGGACATCCGCCGGTTTGTGGACGGGCCCAGGGAGGCCCCGCCCCCGAGACTGGAGTTCACCCTTAACGTTGAAGTTGATGAGCCAAAGGTTTATTATCTGAGTTATTTTATCTTTAAACTTCTGTCGCTGTCTGTTAATTGACTTAAGATGTTTCAGATTTACAGTAATGCATGTGTTTCGAAATCCTCAGTTACTAGTAGCGTATTTCCAAGTTTAATCCAAAGAGAACAGAGTGCCATATAATTATAACGTACAGCCTGAAATAGAAATATTATACACAGTCACTTCAAAGAGGTTGAGAGAAATATAATGATTTACAACACGTAACATATGGAGCATAATAAAAAACACTTTTGTCATGTTTGCCGACTATACTGTTTTTATTTTTGCAATGAACTAATACAGTGTTCAAAGTTACTAGCCACTGACTTGTTAATTAGTATTAACTTTGATAATTCATAAAGTGTTGGGTGTTCAAATACATGTATTGTTTTCTCTCCAAACAGGCCACAGTTGCCATGTGGTGCAGTTTTCCTCCCCTCTACCCCGAGGTGTTGCCAAAAATCCACCTGAGGAGCAAAGAGCTATCCCGCCAGCAGCAAAAGGACATTAACCAGAGCCTTCACTCTTTCCTCGACACTTCAGACTTAGGAGAACTCTGCACAATGCCAGTGGTGCAGTGGATACAGGAAAATGCAGGAAAACACATCACGCTTTCTCTTGCTGAGCTGCAAAGCACAAATACACAGACAGCAAAGGAAGAAAATAAACTGACAAGCTTGTCCAGGTTTTGGATCTACAGCCACCACATCTATAGACAAGAACTGTTGCGTAAAATTCCCGCTTTGGCCAAGGAACTGGATTTGACAGGTTTTTGTCTACCTGGGAAGCCTGGGATAATTTGTGTGGAAGGCCAGACGAAATACTGCGAGGAATATTGGCACAAGCTACGGTACCCCAACTGGAAACACATCTCATGTAAACACAGGGAGGATGTCGAATGTAAGGACCAGAATGAAGAGGCTAAGTTCAGGCTGTTTAATGTGTTTGAGGAGTTGGCATTTGAAGCTCATGGTGACTATGGACTGAGGAATGACTACCACATGGACCTGGGACGGTTTCTGGAGTATCTAAAGGAACACAAGTGTGACTACATGTTTAGCATCTTCTTTGGAGTTGAGGGAAAAGAATCCCGAAAATGAAAAGATGAATAATTGAATTTCAATTCTAGCAGAAACTCAGTTGACTTATACTAACAATCATGAAAGTAATATGAGAATATGAATAAAAGCAGCTGAACTTTGAAGTTGTTGTCATTGTGTTTTCTTTCATTTCATTTTCTTGGTTTTTATGATTGATTCAATCTCTTGTAGACTTAACCTTTATCTTGTCAAATCTTTACTAAATTTGCTACATTGAAAAATGCATCTCCAGACATTGAATGATGTGTAATAAGGTATTATACCAGGAATTTGCCATTAATACATATTTTTCATGATGTCACATTCGTTTATTTCTAAAAATATTCTTTTGCCATGTAATCCGGAAAGTGAGAAACCTGTCAATATCGGCAAAGGGTCTATTGAAACACCGCTTTTATTTCTAAGAATAGACATCGCCGGTTTTCCAAACTTGTTTTTTTACCGGCATTATTGAGTTTGCTGGCCCAAGGCGTGATGACGTCAGGACCTAGTGACGTCACCCGTCCGACGGGACAAGACGAACACGGGGCAAGATGGCGGCGGGTTCGGACGTGTCAAAACTTTGTGGGCTGGTTTTCCTGTCCTGTTTCCTACTTCTGCCGACAGGTAGGCATCTTGCATTATACAGTAACGTGGAATACGTTTGGGGGTAACGTTTGGAAGGCACGATTTTGGATGTCGTCTCCCGACTTTTTGACAACAAAATTTGACTAATACTAGTTCTGGGACGGATAGCTAGCCACCTGGATGCTACGCAACAACTTTTTTCATAGCCTGATCAAGAAATTCAGAGGCTTGAAGAACGGTAAAAATGTTAGCAAGATACAAGATAGTCAGCTTTTATTTCTTTGTAAGCAAAGACTTCGTTCCTGCGAGTTTTGGCATGTTGTTTTTGTTCTTTTTGTTTACTCCAAGGATTTTGTTTCCAAGAGTCCCGGAGAAGTATTTTGCCCTTTTTATAACGAACACAAAGACCATGTAAAATCCGATCTCCAGAATGAATCAATTCTATTCTGTTTTTTTCTCTTTCCTTCTTGCCCTTCTTCTCTATTTGAATAAATAAATAAATGAATTATCGTTGATTTTCGATAAGTTTTCTCGAATCCCTTATCAAAGAGGTTATCAATCAATGACTGTCCTTGGTCTTATCTAAATGAGAAAGTAAAAGTAATCAGAAAGTAAACATTACAAGCGGTACGTAAACATCCACCATGTTGTTGAACACTTCCAAATGTTTAGCTTGTCTACATGTGAGCAGGATGATACAAGAATATGAAATTGATTTCTATTGGTACACCATAAAATAGGTACAAATCTGGATCTAATATATATGAAGTATAAATGTTGCCTAGATTTGGAGACTTTTATGAATATGAAGAGGTTGAGGTGTGCACTGTGCAGAGTGGGTGGAACCCTGTCTTTCTTGTTAAGTGACCCTGTGACACCAGGTGGTCATGTGACGTGCCATGTACGTGATGTCGTGTGTGCGTGCGCAACAGCTCGTTAAAAATGACTCACTGACTGAGTTAATGGCACATTTGTTAACTCCTTTTATTGTGGTTCAGAAACTTTTGAAGGCCGATCTAGTTTTAAATGGTACACTTTGAAGGACAAAGCCTTGCCGAACAGGTTTTTTGTGACATCTGCATCTAATTACTCAGTGTAAAGTGGGCCTGCTAAGCTTATTATATAAGAATTGGGATTGGTTTGCCATATATTTACTCAAAATCTATCATTCAAACTTTTTGCGATGTGTAAAAAGGACTTGTAAATGTATAAGTGCCCTCACAGAGGCCACGTAAATACCGTAGGTGCTAAGATTAGCTCAGTCAACACTCTGTAGGAAGGAGAAAGTGGAGTAATCTTACTGTGTTTGTTTTTCCTCCCCCAGTTTGTGTTTCACAGGAGGGTGACACAAATAATGGTACTGAAGTACTACAGCCGAACACAACAGCAACCAGTCCTGGAGAAGGTGGTGAGGAAGTTCTCACAACTAAAGTACCAACTCAGCCTCCAGTGGAACTGAACACGACATCGTCCGCTGTAGAGGTTGACAGTAAAGCCCCCACACCCACACCCAATGGTACGGCCGAAGCCACCACCGCACCTGGAGAGGTTCCTTCCCAGACCAATGGAACCACCCCCGCACCTGGAGTGGTTCCTTCCGAGGCCAATCCCAATACCACAGTGGTACCAAGTAAAGGGCCTGAACCATCAGTTACCACTAAACCAGCTACCACACCTGCAGTTACTCCGAAGGCCAACACTACAGTAGAGCCCCAACCTGTCGCCTCCACAGAGAGCAAGACGGAAAAAGCGTCCACACCACAGGAGACAACCAAGGCAATAACAAAGCCTTCTACAACAACAGAGTATGTCGCACCAACGAAGAAGGCTACACCGGTACCACCAACTACACCAGTACCGCCACCCATAAGAACCGAACCACCAGAGAAGATGACAACACAGACTGTACCACCAGTGCACACCACCATCCAAGGGGCGACTAACAATGTCACCAACACTACCCAAGGGGACTCCAACAAAGTACCACGTGAGTAGTGGACTACAGGGGAGAACATTTCTGAAAATATGATGGCATGCTTCTATATGCGTACGCATTCGTTCATCTACCAACCATCATATAAATTTTGCATATACAATGCACTAGTTTGATTGCAAAAGCTCATTTTTGACAGTTTTGTAATTTTTGTACAATTGTCTCAGATATTTAGGATTTTTAAAAAACATCTTTCTCCTTTCAAATTTACATGGCATTGTAGTACAATTATATATGTGTGCTTGTATTGTGTATTGTATGTAATGTCAAAGCAAGGATATTATATTGTCCTTGGTCAAAGACACCAACCAATGGTAAGAAACCCCAAAGAACATGTTAGTCCTGAGACACAAAATCATTGACTTAGTCTCATTCTCACTCACAGAATACCATGACAACCAGACGTTGGACCCCGCCCTTGCGTTCTTCGTTGCCGTGCTGGTTATCCTGGTGGTCATTGCTCTGGTCGCAACCATCTGGTGGAAACAGCGACGTGCAAACTTCCAGACTATCGGTGGAGACGTACCAATGGTAAGAGTTAGTGGCACTTCATGTAGTTTATGGTATCAAGTAACACAGTAATGTACTGTCATGAACAATGTTGTAATGTTGAATGGGAATAAGGTGCTACAAGTGAATTTACATGTTGTAATTACTTACCTTGAATGTTGATATCCAATACTCAATGCATGTTATGGAATTGATATGATGGCTGTAAACTGTTTGCATGTATTCAGGTTTCTGATGTGCTAAAAAGGTAGTACAGTACATATTCTAAGATAGGATTGTTTTATAAATGTATGACTGCTATGATTTAAAGTACAAGTCAGCTTCAGTATGCCATGTGCCTGTAATGCTGTGTGGAACAGGTAGGTGGTGCTGGTGACTTGTCTTCTGTAGTGTGGTGATCTTTCATCCCTGAAAGAAAATGCAGATCTACATTTTGTTCTCTTGCAAGTACATATAGATACATCTTACACAAGGAAATCATTACTCCAGTAACTGGATAGATCTTAAAAACTGCCAGACATTTCAAGTACTTAGCATCCACTACTTTTTGCCAGTGACTAAGTAGTGGATGCTACTTAAAACGTTTTCGAAGTCTATACAGTTGCTTGAGTAACTATTTCATTGTGTATCTCATTACCTGGATGTCTAACCTTCGTTGTAGGCACATCTGCATAAATGCACTGCATTGACAAAATCTCACCTGTGGTGAAGGCACACTCGCCCCCCTCCCACTTCTAGTACAGTACCTGCGCTAATTGTGACATCCCCTCTGTCTCTCCCTGTTGCTACATCACAGAGTTGGTTCTCAAAGTCTGGAAAGAGAGGGTTTGAGCGACTAGACGATACCGAGCCTATGTTGGTGAGATATTTCATGTACAAACCTAACCACTGTTCACTTGTTTGTGTCATAACAACGGACTTTCATTTTTTTTCTTACAGAATGCCATGCAATTGCCCAATCTATTCAGAAAGAAGGTATAGCCTGTCTGTCTACTAATGAAATGCATGCAGTAGTGTTAGGGAGTGGTTTGTTGGATGTTGTGTTAACTCTAGATGCTATACAGGGTTTTGTAAAAATCACTGGTTGTTTAATTGTGGAGCATGGAATACCCTGTGTTGACGTTTTAGACCCTCTTGACTACACCTTTTATAATCCTGTAGCACAGTACAGTCAAACTTGCCCAAGAGAATCACTGCTAGTGTTTGTGCAATGTAAAATGGTGCTTGCTGGGTCACTGGGTAGATGGGGGAAGTCTATTCGTGTTTTATTCTGTTGTTGTTGTCTTGTCACCATGCTTTTTGTATAAGACCACTTGTCCTTGAAGACCATGTTTTGTTGGTCCCCTGGGTGGTTGTCTCAGACAAGTTTGACTGTCCCTTTCTTTAGCAATCCTCTTTTAACAGCATGGCAAGGTGACGGTGGGGTTTCCTATTGGTAACTTGAGAGTCAACCCTCTAACATCTTCAATACTGTGTTTTTCAGGACGACTTGGAAGAATCTCACCTCATCGCAAATGCTCGTTAACAGGACACCTACCAGAACCACAACACAACTTGTGCCTTAAACGTTTACAATTACATCAGACCAGAAGCAGGGTGGTTCCAGTTTGATGCAATCCTAGTTATGCAGTAGCTTTGGAGCTTATATAAGAAAACTTTTAAGTTTTCATGATTAACGTACAGCTGTAATATATAACTGATATTTGGCAGAACATACTTTTGGTTGTGGGTATTTTGTTCCTATTGACCGTTTGAATTTTTACAGCTATAGTTTTCTAGTTTTTGCACTACTTTCAATCTTTTCTGTTGCCAAATCAATACCACAGAAACTTTTTTCAAAGGGAAAACTTATTATTTGACAGCATCATTAAGTGAATTTTTCTGTACTTTCAGTATCTATTGTTTTCTGCAGTGTTATATTCCAGAGGGAGATTTACTATAGAATTTGTACAAAATCTTAGAAAACAACCATCCAACTTAACTTTTAGACTTATAACTATTACAAATGTACAGCTATTTTCAAGTAGAGGTTTCAGAAGGGGGCCAAAAGACATACATGTATGAATGTAGATTAAAAATTGATGTATATTTTCTTCTGGGCAACAGATAATATATAATCTATCTCTTCCTTGTAAGCTGCAGTATAAAATGTGCATTTAAGTCTATTTTGTGCTCTCAAGATCATGTAGTTTTCCAGCAAGTGTTCAACAATGTTAATATGCAATACAAAGAAGACTTGGTGTGAAATTGTGGTGTCATATCATGTAGTTTAGACAGAAGTTGTCAAGACTCTGGCATGGCTATAGAAACTGGATTTCGTCTTCCATCTACTTCAGTTATTTTGTTTCTCAAGTAATACCTCCTTAACTGTTTGAACTTGTACAAGTCACTAGAATACAAGGGACCAGTTTTATTCTGTCATTGTAATGTGGCATTTGGGTTACTCCCACAATGGTGCTCTTGCACATGGTGAACAGAGCTGCACCATCATGTTCCTGTCCTGAGCCATGTGCTCGGCTCAGTTAGGGTAATGTTGTGCTTTTGGGGGTTGATGAATCAAAAAGGAAGTGTTCAAGATGTGTCAAGTCTGTAACTTTGTGCTTGCCTGGGACAACAAATTGTCTACTGTATGTGTGCAACAGAGTACAGGGAAAATAGGAATCATGCAACAAATGTTTGTCTGAATAGGTAGGGTAGAACTTGTGCAGAAATCTTTTCTTGTCAAGATATCTTTAATGTCTTGTCATAAGTGCCTCATGCTGCTAGAAGCTTTCTTTTCCATTCCTTGGTGTAAACTGGTCTTTTAGCAAACGTAACCTCAGTTGTCTATAAACATATCCTGTACTACTAGTATTTGAATTCAACTGATACCATTCCCTGGTATGACTTTTTGTAGATACTTCTCTTTACTTACCTTTTAACTGAAAAATAGCAAAGTAAGATTCATAGCATGATCAAGCTGTTCAAATTCTGGTATGAGAGTGTAAGCTTCTTTCTCCGTAGGATGTTCATAGTGGGTCTATATTTGAAACCAGAGTATTTTAGGAAATTAAAACAGGTGGAAGACTCAGACTCTTGCTTTCACAGCCTTTTCTTTGTTATGTGTCTTATATATGTAAATTAGGGCTGCCTTCATCAAATGTAACATCAGGTACATGTACTGGTACAGAGGCTGACCTGTACCTGAACAATTTGACAAATTAACATGTTCTTCTGAACATCCACAATAATATTAAATACAGTAACTTGACAGAATCTTTATTCAGATAAAACAGGACAGAACTAGTTGGCCGTATGCCATATTCAAACAAAACAGTAATATGTGGACTGTTTTTTGCTGCAGTATTTTGGTCGACCTGTGCTTAATTGATTTTTGCGGTACTGTACCGGTACACTACTGATACGCAGCCCTAATGTAAACTAGTGTCTACCACCCCTGGTGGAAAAAAACAACACATCATTTCACACACAGTATTCAAAGGTCTGGCTGATACTTTAATTGAGCATTTGCCTCTAGAGGATTCTTTTACAATATACGACAATACAAATAAAGTAATACTTTAATAACTTTAACTAAAATAGTGACAACATCTACCATTCAAATGTTGGTTGTGTAGGTAAAGAGCATGATTGTTCCACTCCAAAGGGCCTGTACAAAAAGATCCGGGCACCGTACAAGCACAGGTCTTGCCTAACCGCAAGAGTTGACTGAGGTAAAGAGTCTGGAAATGTTGCCACTTCCCCTTAACCACTACATCGAGGTACTGGACTAATGCATTCTACATGGCAGCGAAGAGAGAGTTTTATAGGTTTTTTTTGTTTTACTTTACAGGAGTGGAACTCACAGAGACACACGGCAGAAATGTGTTTCTCAAAAGTCAAGCCACTGTACGGTGCACTCAGCACCCAGGGAAAAAAGAATTCACGGAATTCTACCAAAAGTGTGATGTGATCAATGTACATAAAAAATCAACTGCCTACAGCAACAGATGGAATCATATATAACAGCAATGTCCCCTTCCCAAATGCCTCAGAATAAAATGCACATCTTTTTTACATTGCAACATGGAATAGTTTGGGCAATAAATGCAGAGAAAACGTCGACAGCACAAACAACTGAATGCCAGCAATCCAGGCATCTACTCAGGTCTCCAGGACAGCACAACTTTGCACATACAGGTACTTTTGTCACTAGCTAAAATGAGGATACAATAACATGGCAACAGGGCAGGCTCTAAAAACTGGACCCCTTGCTGCATAGGAGCAGCACAGGGCCAGCCACACTACCTATACATCTGCACGTGACAATAAAAACCTAACTATCTTGGTGATTCCTATGACACACACTCACAACCATAGGAACTCGTAAGGTTCTTGGGTCAATAAAATACAGTACAGGGTTTCTCCCCTACCTAACATCTAATACAAAATCTGCAATAATACAAAAGGGATACAAAATAAAGGGGAAATAAGAGAAAAGAAAGCAATAAGGACGAATCAAGTTTACAACTGAACTTTTTGGTTCCTATTCTCAATGTTGGCAGCTTTATAGTCATCAGAAATGCAGAACAAAACTCCAAACTCGAGATATTAAAAACAGTACAAAATCATTCTTGTCTCTCATTCTGCCATAACTTACAACTTTATAAAATTATGGGTTGACCAAGTGGAAAATTCTGAGCTCATTCAGCCGAGAATTCTCATTTAAAATTTTCCTTATCCAGTCACTGCTTTTCCCACCGCTAGTTAAAAACAGACCTTGTTAGGATTTCCATTTAAAAACTGCAGGTTTGTGTTTTTAAAAAGGCCCATTTTCTGCTGGGAGGAACACTGAAAATAAATCCATTTCACAAAAATAATTTATGAGAGGTAATAAATATACACACAACACGCCACAAGGCGGGCAGACACATCCAGGCTGATACGGTGGACAAACACGGAGGTTTTTTTTCAAGCCTACTTACAGCACTCCGCCTGAGCTATGAACAACAATGAGGTGGGATAATTTATACATCAAGTATCTTGACTCTCTGTCCATAGGTACCCTTTGTCCACTGGCCTTGGTTCCTTGGCTTATTGCATGAAGTACTCAGGATGCCCAGGCCCCCCAGGTGACGCCTCCTTCTCAAATCGTTTGGCTTCCTCCTGCATGCTTTCTTTTATCTTAAGTATCGCTGCTGATTCGTTCTGATCCTGCAGGGAAACAGAAAACAGACAGGGGGACTCAGTGCACAGGCCTTGCAACGGCAGGGGAGAGAGAGAGAAGTGGTGCCTGGCAAGAAAGGGATTTCTGCACTTGTTGGCTGGGGTACGTGTATTTCTTGAAGCGATAGCTTTCTTCATTTTTTGGCATCACTTTGAATTGTGTGATTAACCATAGGCACCATTTTCACAAGTAATATTGGCTTTGCATTGCAGCAAAAGAGTAGGTATCATTCCTTCAATTACATGTAAATATGTAAATCACAATTTGCTGGAAACAGTTAACAGTGTTGCTTACATTTTTTTGACAACTTACATGGCATCAAGGTACAGTATAGAGCATGGGTAGGCCAAACATACAATATTAGCTCAATCACATTTTGTCAATAACACACTATGATTGGATTTCCATTATTCTCATCAATGCACAGTCTAGCCCTCAAAAAGCACCAAATCACATCAAATAGGAAATCAGGTAAAGGAAACAGAGTTAAATGAGATCAAAGGAGAAAGAAACAGGTTTCCAATTGGTCGTCTTACAGTTACAGCTCATTTAAGTAATTCCTTATTCAACCACAGCCATATGCAGACCCCTTAATCGCACAGAGACCAACAAATCAAGAATTAAGGGAAAGAGAGCTAAGTAAGTCTTGAGGCTACAAATAATAAAGCAAATACACCTGCACTGCACTGCATGCTCTTTCTATGCCCAGTGCATCATGCGCATGCAAACTCTGCTCATTACCATAGATTAGCAGTTGGGCCAGAGTTAGATTTGCCACAGTTATTATCACTAGTAGGATCACAAAATCTGATCTTGACCTGTCAATCAACTTTATTTCCTTCGTCATCGCTGTAATTGGGACACCTACCTCTACAGAAAAACAGGAAAACAAAAACATGTCTCTAAACAACACAAAACATTCAGCTAACTACACAAGAGGCATCACTGCATGAGTAGGCATACAAATACACCATCTCCACAGTTTCAAGACACAAGTATGAAGCCATGCATGTGCAAGGAAAAATACAATTAATACCAAAGTGCAAAGAGTGCAAAGATTGAAGGAACGAGCAATGCCAGCAAGAAACTCCTAATTAGCATCACTCTCATGATTCATGTACTGTCCACTTGGGTAGCATGCCAGCGATCCGGCCTGGGCAAGAGCATGCTTACAGCTGTTTATCTCCTATACATGCACGAGTGGAGCCGGTCTTCAGCCAGGCACTACAGTTTTCGCCATGGAGGGTGTGCACCAGAAAATAATGGCAATGGATGGACTGAATTTCTCATGAAAATGGCATGGGGATCTCATTTGCATCAACATGTGTGGAGAAAAGTATGAAGAGGAAATCTTTCCTCGCTGTTAGCAGAGATGACAGGCATGAGTTCTGGCATTTGTTTCTTAGCTCTTTAGTTCACTGCTGTTTCGAAGAACTGTTCTTTAACCTGGGAATCTGTTTCACCACACTCATGTGCAAGTTTTTTAAACACAAAGTTAAGGCAAAGTGAGAAAAAGATGTAAAAAAACCCTGTACATTGTAAAAGACCTGTAAAATGTTTAACCAATATTCCCCACCCATTTACAATTCAGACAAAGCCTCCACACCTACGAAGTGTCAGTTGTTCAGTAATACGGGTTCTAATACTGTCCACTTTAAGTGACAATAGACATTTTAAATCTTGTATCTCAGAATCAAATGCCAGAACCATCATGACGAAGGGAAGACTGGTTATTAGAGTTTAGAGAGGGAGACATGAGTAGGGAGACAAGCAGTAGTGGGGAGAAGGCAGCAGTGGCAAGAGCTACAAGGTAGTTATCTACTCTAGTGGGAGGGGGGTGGAGTGCAGCTGTAAGAAAGAAAGTACAGAAGTGTAAGCGGTTATAGCGAGTACAGGTTCTTACTCCAAAAAGCATTGACACATGAATGCAAACGACATCCTCATTTCTTTGATTTGATCATGACTGGACTCCAGGTGCAAATTGTGGACAGTGGATGAATACCAGGAGGCATGAGCAAGGAAGGGTCCATGTAGCATCCATGGGTGATATGGCTCTGGCCAAATGTCCACCCTTTCTTTCAAAATCATTTCTTCTATTATAAAGAATAGCTTGGAAGAGAAAAGAAGTGATAAGCGAATGATAAAGAGTAGAATATGTACTAACAACCCTTTTGAGTGACAGTAACCACCAAAGAAAGCATTGTCGCTTCTGACAGAAAGAGAAAAGTAAAACTTGATAAAACTGCATTCATGGCTTTAACAACTTGAGCTTTGCCTGGCTTTCCTTTTAAACTGTTGAGCGCATTACTAACATTAAACGTATCCTTTACTTCACTGCCTGTAACATTTCACTACACAGCAATATTACCTCGCTCTGTAAACAGGAAACCATAATAAAAGAAAAGGAAAACAGTAAATAGGCTAAGTTGGTACATTCTCGCTGTCCTGTTTTTAAGAAACCTGTGTCTTTTGGAAATGGTTAGACCTGTATGTTATGTGCTACGTTAAGCTTCCTACGTTACGTTTTTCTTTATTTCTACAGGTGTGCTAGTCAGACCACTTCCCTGCTCAGGTCTACAGGAGGTCGAAGTTCAAGGTCAGGATGGAAAAGTGCAGAAAACTAGTTAGTCCCTGTGCCAGTGACTTACACTGACGTTGTCCTGGAAGGGAGGGAGTCCGAACGTTCCCCCGGGTCCCATCTCGCCCGCTTCCCTTGGCGTGCCCGGGCCCGCGGGGTTGTTAGGGGAACTCTGCAAGATCACAGCAAAACTTCAACACCAACACATCCATTCTTAGTCACTGATGATAAATCAGACAACATCAGAAAGCAAAATCAATCTGATCCAGTGGTCATACATGTAAGTGTGAACATTAAATTGAAATTGTGCTATCTACAAAAGACAAAATCTGTGAGAAAGCACAAACCTTTGGAATATGATCCATATCACCAGATCCTAAGGGAGAAAACCAAAAATTTAGTGTGTAGAAAAAAAACCCAGCTCGATGCTAAAAAGTATTTGGAAATTTGGAATAGAATAGAATAGAAGTGTGACAAGAAGAGTAGAGAATGCTCAGCACTACATGCACTAAGTACAGCAGCTCATATCATGTAAAGGAAATGACTCCTAACCACCCCTATGTGCAGCATAATGTGGTTAAATCCATGTTGCCTAATAGTGAGAAAGCATAGCAAACTGGACTAGTGGACTACACTAGGAGGGGGTTAACAGCACAGACAACACATCCAGCAATCGCAGACAGGAAGGCTCTACGATAGCGAAGTAGAGGAACAGAGAAGCACTTGGGTTAAGGCCTGGCTTCAGAGCACTCACCGTTGATAGGAGGAGAACGGATCGACTCACCGTTCATGACTGGAGAAAGGACTTGGTCACCCATGTTCATGGGGCCGTCGGGGCCAGTACCCATGGGAAACTGCTGCAAGGACAAGAGGAAAACTTCCGTGAGATACCTGTCCGTCATGCAACTGTGTCGACAAGATGGAATCTTCGGCGTGATACCAATCTTTGACACAACTGAGCTTAAAAGGGATACTTCAGCATGATACAATATCATGCAAAAAAGCTGTTTGAAATGATATCCCCCCTGGCCAGTTTAATTTTACTGCACAAAGGGTTATTAATTGGCACGACCGCACATATCCTTTGTTCAGGATGATGTGGTAGAAGCGTAGTTCAGAAGGCATTGAGAAATTTTCTACATGTATCTTACAACCTCAAATGTGACATGTACCACACTTTCCTTTCTCCAAGGGCTATGGAAACCTTTTCCTACCTTTTGAGTTCTCCTGTTGAGTAAAAAAATTAAAGAAACAACAAGTCAACAGTGCAGAGAGGATAAGCCCTGTGTGGGAGGTGGTCTGGCTTACCGTAGGCATGCTGCCACCTGGAACGTTCTTCATCATTGCGTAGACGTTGTCTCCTGAATTTGAGTCTGCAGGGAAACAAGACAGGGAAAACATGCGTTCTACACAAGCCTTTCTCATTCCAGGTGATGTATATTCTTTACTGACTCTTCAAGCTCTTTCACATAACCAAAATTGTTCTTACTAAGAAAGGATTTGGCAGTCCTTCTATTGCCTTAGTTTTCGGATTGACAAGAACAATTTTGGTGTGTGAAAGAACTTCCAAGATCCATTATTCATTGACCTGATGAAACTCTAGTTTGAAACAAGTGTGTTTGAGTGCAAATCATACAAAAAGGTGGGAGAGTCATTACAAACGGCAAGTATTTGGTGATCTAACAATGACACATTTGGCAGCCAAAGAAAATTTGACGAGTGGATGTAGCCAAGCTTGGCTCAAATTGAAACAAAAATCCACAACAGCAGGTAGAAAGGAATCCTGGCTGTGTCAGCTGTGCTCCATGCAGGTTTGGTACATAACTGACTTCTATGGTACAAAACATGGACTCGGTGGTTGTTGGTCATCTTATAATACTCAACTCAAGGGCAAGTGTTGAAGAGCTGAACAAGGTACATGTATTGCTGTCACAAATAGATTAAACAGCTTCAATTTCAGAAAGGGAAAACTCCTAAGACAGATAATATTGTCATTTCTTATGCATTCTAATACCTCCAAAAGCTGTTGTTGAATATGATGACCATTTCATTAGCTAGTGACAATTGATGTCAATTTTCTTATACATATTATCTCCAGAAACGGTTGTCAAATATGATGCTCATCTGTGTTGGTAGAATCCACAGTTGCGAAGTTTAAGCTTGGTTCTAACACAAAAGGTGAGTTCCCTTTTGTGTTGGAACTAAGCTTTAACTTTGCAACTATGATTTTTTCTTAGTGACAGGTAATGTCAATATCGGTTGTGTGCCCTATCCAATGGCTCAACACCCCTCGACCTTTTTTGCTAACAACCACCGTTCCGTTGTCTGGTGTCTGACATTTCAGGCAGGGCGTGTGCACGTTACCTGGGGGCAGGGTGGTCGGTATGCGGTTGTTACCCTGGGGGTGGGGACCATTTCCTAGGGGGCAAAGGGCGCACAATCAACAACGACAGAAGACATGCCAGGAATGCCACATGCTATACATACACAGCTAGGCAGTGCAACTTACCTGCATGCACAACGTAAAAAAATATAACGGCTCAAAACAAGCGCTCGGAAACGACGATCAAGCATAAGGCAAACACGTACTTACCACAAAGATGGAAAGGAGAAGTAGGAGGGTTCTGAACTTACCTTGTGGGCTAGGCATGATGGGAGTTCCTGGCGGGCCTCCTCCAGGGGGACCCTTTGTAGGGAAAGGGCAAAGGTCAAGAGAAGTCAATCATGTACCATCATTATACCCCAGCAGGTGGGTAGACTTGTGACATGTGAAGAACAAAGTGGCCCAATCAAGCAGTCAGTAGTTATAACAGCTCAACAAAAGGTTTGTGTAACCCAAGGCCAGTGTTGGCTTGCAATGTGTATTCTCAGGGCCACCATAATTAGTACAGGTCAAAAAAGTAAAACTTTCTTTTGACCAATCAGAGTATAAATGTAGTGATATAAGAGGTTTCTGTAGCCCTGGAAAACTACACTTGGCAAATCACATAAAAAATGCAATTGTCTGTAATTAAAACATTTTAGCAACAACAAGAAACAATCCTGACTTACCGCATAGTTGCCTGGTGAAGAGGAGGAATAGTTTATCTGTAAAGAGAATCTACAGTTAGCCGAGTGTTGGACATGCCTTATCCACAGCTGCAGTGTGCATCTTTTAATTCTTTCAAGAGCAAAAATCAACATCAACACTGGGAGGTAACATGCTTATAGTCAAATGCATCATTAGAAAGGAGATACTCATAAGGAGGATGACTGGCAAGTACTTCCTGACTATCTCATACATTTTGCTGGTAACAGCAAGGAAGACTTGCTGGAAAGAAACTTGCTACCCTTATGTGCCATCACAGGAGCACAACAGAAGTAGTACAGGAGTAGAGATGAAGGCTTACTGTGGATGTGTTGGGGTTAGAAGAGAGGAAGGTTTACTGTGGATGTGTTGGGGGTACAGGAGAAGAGAGGAAGGCTTACTGTGGATGTGTTGGGGTTGCCTGGCCACGGCCGCCCTCCCGGTCCACCTGGTGGCCTGTGGGAAGGGAATGACATCCGTTACTCTCACGTCTCATGACCTACGACCTTCCGTAAGTACTACCCACAATGCAATGCAGAAGACAGCAGATACCCTAATTCAACTTTATCAGTTTTCCTAACCTCTCAGTCTTACTTTTAAATGGTAACACTGACCACAATGTTGATGACATACATGTATAACTTAGACCATCTGCCCTCCCTTGAACAATTTACATGCCAGGATTGCTCTATTGGCTTTTTGCTTCCCAGACAAGTGGTCTGGTATCGGCTTCCTAATGCAATTTCACTAAAATCATCCACCCAGGGAACGTTATCTTCTATTGTTGTCCTAAGGCTCTCACTTGTGTTTTGTGTAGAAGTAACCAATGCAAATTGTCAAATGCTGTTAGTATGGCAACTCAAACTAAATTTTCTGAGATATTTTTCCATTAGTGACACAAAAGCTGACAGATATAGTGGCATACATTAATTTCTTGTTTCCATTCATTGAGTTCTTTATGTACATGGAGTAAAATCATACTTCTTGAACATGAAAAATATAGTTGCAGTTCTTTAGATTTTTGTCCAGCCATTGTGTTACTTTTCCTATGTAGTTTGACAAACTAGAAGAGAAATTGCAGGTTGCTGCCATGAAGTCAACTACGACTAAGATCACAGACGGATGAAAATGTACTGAGTCTAACATCGGCAGCCAAATTCTAACCAGTTTGGACAGAGGGCCCTCTTGTCCCACCTCTACCTCACTACCTTCCCCAGAAGACCTGGCACTGTCCATTTAATAGTCTGTGAAATTTGCTCTTTGGAAGATAGATAGCGCATTAAGGCAGCAATCAGAATTTCATTAGGACTGTCAGAACCAATTGCCAGCCATGGATGGAAACTAACTGGATATACTGCGGGAATGGCAAGTTGATGGGGCAGGCATGGCCACTACAGGAAACTGGTAGATTTATTGTGAATCCCCCCCCCCCTCACCAATAAATGCCAGTAATGTGTATCTCATCACACTTCTCTTTTGAGTAGACGTAGCGATATCTTTTCTTAAATTTCAAAATCCATGCAACTGTTGTATGGAATTCAGTTGGTTCCTTGTTCAAAAAGGTGTAGCATTTTTAAAAAAAAAGCAGGGTGCAAATATCAAGAAGACAACACCCCACAGTCTGTTTCAAAATCTCACTCTGCCTCAGCTCTCTCCATGCCCGTAGCCAGGATTTTGAATGGGGGGGTTCTTCCCACTGCTTGAGGGGACCTCGAGCGCCGTAGGCGCGAGGTTCCTAGGGGGGTCCGGGGGCATGCTCCCCCGCAAAATTTTGAAAAATGAACCTTCTAAAATGGGATTTCGTGCATTTTTTAGAGAATTTCCGAGAAAAAATCAGAGATAAAGCTTTATTCAATTACAAAGGGAGCAGTTTTTCTACGATTCCAGTCTATCTTTTCAAGAAAAATCTTGGACCTTTACATAAAATGTGGACCAAAAAGTGGACCTTTACATAAAAAGTGGACCAAAAAGTGGACCTTTGAGCCTTGTGGGGGGGTTCTTCCGAACCCCCTGAACCCCCCCTGGCTACGGGCATGCTCTCTGTGTTGATATTCAGACTGTTCTCAGTTTTAGAGCCAAGAGTTTTCCCCCCATACATATACAGCAATCAGGTAATGTTTTCCCAAGACAACATCCGTTACATGATTCAAAATCTTTCAATTCAAAACTCCATACACCAACTGGAAAATTACAATGCAGCATGACTGACACATGTTGTCTTGTTTGTCTATTTCTGCAGTTTTTGGTGTTTTTTTTCAGAGTACAAAAACAGATGGAATGGTGAAGTGAAGAAAAGGTTGCAGTACCATGGCGGGCGCTCTTCGTCATGTGGAAAGACCCTATTAAAGAGAGTTTAAGAAAAAAAGAAAAAAAATTTTGTTGCTGGTTTGTACTAGGCACGTTTTCCAAAATTCACAGAACCACAATTAGGCTGTTACAGTTTTGGCAACACCCAACTATAATTGATATGTACGCGTCACATGCACTAGACACAGATCACACATTTGGAACGGCATTTAAGGAGACAGATAACAAAAGGACATGGCACAAGTACAGACCCTACCTGAACCACAGACAAGTACGTCTTTAACAGCTTAATACCATCCCACAACATAACAACACTACATATGGCAAAAGGTCATAACTTAAGTTGACTTCACCCAATTTCAATTTCTCCTTTATCCCCACTTTCAACTTATGGAATCAGCTTTTAGTGCAGACTGGCAAGCCAAATCCTTTACCATAGTAAAAGGAGCACTTAGATATGTTTAAGACTATGCAGTAGTTTATATTTTATCTAAGGAATTAAAGCCTAGGATAAAGACCTTTTGCCACCTGAAAGTCACACGATCACCACTCAGAATCCCAACAGTTATATATGTAAAAAGAAAACGGTGTACACAAAGAGAGGACATAAAAAATGCCATCCAAACTTTCAAGTAGGATGACTATACAAAGAAAATGTCACATGCACTTAAAGCTGGTGACAAATTGTAGCAACAGAAATGTGCATTTGGTGAATCTATGCAAGAACATGGCCAATGCCCTAGTATCCTGCAAACATGCTCTACATGTAACTTCCATCAAGTACTAGCCAACTCTTTAATTTGGCTCTATATAGCATGATTTCTTTCTTTATAAGTCAAGACAAACTCTTTCATTTGGCTCTGTCATTACAGGATAGTAGGGCTTGTCCTTTTGCAGGCTTGGAAAGGATTTTTGGGAATTAGAGAGGCTACTTACATGTTCATGCCTGGTGGCAGGCCCCCTGGTCCCATACTGTTTGGTGGTGGCCGCATCCCCACTGGTCCCCCGTAGTTCTGAAGAACAAGAACTTCACTTGTACAAAAACTACTGCTTGGTAAGGTACATACATATTGCATGGAAATGTTTCTTTATCTCTGCATCATTCCTGAAAAAGACCTTTTGCCATGACTCTCCTCACTCCACCCAGGTGTACATTGGCATGCACCTGACTTAAAAAAGATGCAATGGTGGAAGGAGAGGGATGGGCTTCGCCTTCCAAAACCATGCCCAAGACATTCATTGCCCATATGGCTTGAAAAAGGCTTTGGAACCTTAAAGTTAACCTAGAACACATAGTGGAGTACTGTCTGTTTAAAAGCACTTCAATACCAGTTGAGATGTCCATTCATCTCCTCAGCTCCTGCTATCTCTCCCATCTGAGTCCCTTAAGTACACATAGCCCCTGCAGGTTGTGTGAGTTATTCATGTACATACCCAGGAACACACCAATACCAGGAGAGAGTATGGAAGGGCAATGCAAAGGCCAGGTCTGTAAATCTAATTACTGCATGTGCAGACAAGGGTGTTTGGGGACTTAATTTGGTAGCAGGCTGTTAGAGTGATTTACTTTTGCTTTATTTTTCTGCCTTGAGGGTGCAGGGCAGGAAGTTCACTCCTCCATGAGGTGACAGAAAGCCTGGCAAACACACTTTACAAGGAGGCAAACACAGATTCCACTCTCTTGGGTACTACACATAGCAGTTTGAAAGAAACATCAACAAAAGGGGCAAGGACATCGTAGACCTTGCTGACTGATGCTGTAAATAATAGGAATTTGGTGAATGGATCAGGTCAAGGAAGGAGGAAGGTGAGAGACTGTAGTGATTCGTAAGGTCCTTATCACATACATCGCAAATTGGGGACATGCTAAGGATAGTTGTGGATGTGTTATACAAAATTCAGCTGTCTCGTGGTCAGAAAAGACGGTCATATGTATCCTTGCCCATGCTTTGTTCTGTCATAGTTTCCCTGAAAATTGCGCCACAAAAAAAAACTGTCTGTGCCTGATGATCAGGAGTAGCTTGGGTGCCCTCCTTTGTATATCAGGGCTCCCATGCTCTCATGTATGGGAGCCCCGGTATACAGAGAGGAGGTTACCCAGGCTGTGTCAGGAGTCACTTACCGGTAAACTTACCGGGTTCATGGGCATGCCTCTCGGATGGTTCATTCTCTGCATTGGCCCGGGCATGCTGGGATGGCCTGGAGAAAACAAGAACAACACAGCCTGGTCAGCTACATTTATCTGTGGATGGTCAAAAGGGCACACACACAAAGATATACATTCATACATACATGTACATGCATACACACACGCTCACAAAACTGGTCAGCTTAGAGTATCTTGAACCAAGGTTCAACGTCCTGATGAAACTCCCCTGAGTGCAGCATCTCACAGAACAGCACATCTCTGTATATAGCCAGGTGCTCTCTACAATACATTATACTAACCACTGACACACCTGACCACAAGATGCTGATTTTCATAGTTTAATAGAGCAAAAGAAAGGCTGATGTATTGTGACAAGGTTCCTTAGAACAGTAGCGGTAGTTTTTTAATGAAGCTGCTTCATCTGTAATAACTGTTATGAACATCCTCTTTGGATGGAAGCATTGGGGGGATGGTGGAAGCTGCCTTTCCTCGTTGGCTTTCACCTTTTCAAGCACACCTGAAGCTGCATTTCAACGTGAGAAGCTGAAACGTAGCTCTTGGACCTCTTTGTACAAGAGGGTATGGCACATGACTCTCCTCCTTTTGAAGTCCCGGTGCATGTGGGTGGAGTACGCCCTCGACAAGGCAACCTTCCCGAAGAACCCTTCCCTCTCCTTGACTGTCCTTGAGGTCCCCTTTCCAGGCCATCGGGGATTACCCACTCACCTGTCTGAGAGGGACGGATGTGGACGCCTTCTCTCCTGGAGCACCATCATCGCATAACCATGGCCAATTAGCCGCGAGGCTGACGCACCCTGACCCCCGCAGACACGCCCGGTCGCAGGATCACCGCGCGTCTGGAGCACGGGATATCCCATCAGGCTTTGGGCTCATCCCTATAGTTGACATGCGGTACCCTTTTTTTCTGCAGGCCAGTTCCCTCATGTACAACTTCATGGCAGAATGGACACTATCAAATTACCACGTAGGAACATAGACGACTTTGTGGTAGACCTGTTCTTCTGGCAACCCTTCCAGCAAGCTGGACTCCACAATTAGAGACCCTCGCTCATTTCTGCAGTCCTCCGAGCCTATTAATCCGAGACCTGAGGGTAGAGCTACTAAATATGTAACATCAAATAAGGCCATTTTTCATATGTGGCCAATTATAAGACCAGCAGAAGATTTATGGCCAGCCCTTCACTGTGACAGCAGCCTCAGCAACTTTTGACTCCAGGTAGGGTGGCACAATTTCCATGCAAATCTGGCGGACACAGATGATCCGTCCTTAATGAAAACTTGCAGCCACCTGTCCTTCTGGGTTACATCATAACAAGGACTGTCTTGAATCCTTGGGGGTCTTGTTTGTGACATTTTCATTGCTAAAGTGTTGAAAGTACGAGACTGAATATTGCCTGTCAATTTCACTTCAAATGTTAAGAGGAATGACTTTTTTAAAACTATAAAAGGACAAGGGTTAGTCCTGAAATTAACTGTCAAGGACATACTTGTAAGCCAAGAAAATTGACACTTGAAAAGCTGTTGACTGCATGAATAGATTTCTCATGTTCTTCACCTCCTTGAAAACACCCAGACATCAGGAGATCCTTGTCCCTGGGTACCTCCTGAAGAGCCACAACAAGCTGATAAGGAGCTTTAATGAAGAAACTGGATCTCGACTAATTAGGATCGCAAGAGGGATTTAGGTGGGAAAGCAGCAGGAAGGGACAGATGTCTCTAGTGTTACTCCCAGCCCAGCCAAGGATAGAGCCCGACTTTCTGCTTGTTAAAAGCTCCAAGTTGTTGACTGTCTGGCAAGAGGTTGAGTGACAGAAGAAAATCCAAGAATTCCTGCTGTCTTGTAAGTGTGCATTAGGACGTAATCCCTCTACAGGATGGCTCTGGCTATGACAGGCCTTTAGGAGCGATCACGGTTCCTTTCTGGTGCATTTCACACAACACGAAAACAACTGCCTCCCTGACAGATGTACAGGTGACTACAGGTGAAAGAATCCCTTGGCCCATCACAAGGTGACTGATAATTGCCCCATTACCGAGTTTTAACCTATTACTGCACTAAAGAAGTTCTGACAGAGCCCATGACACCAAACACACACAAGCCATGTAAACATCTGTACATCTGCGGCATCCAACACTATCCAGTGGGACCTTCATTAATAAAGGAACTCCCAAATAATCTTGGAGGGGCTGAGCCCTGCAATTATCTGGCAGGCTTGGGTCTCTAATTAAACATAATTGCTGATGTAGATCTAAAAGGGAGCCTGGAGGAAGCTATAGAAGTCAAGATTGCCTTTAGCACATTGTGCCCTCTGTTCCTGCCATGATGTAATTGATGCACTCAAGTGCATTCATTAGAGAGAGGAGAGAGCGGGGTGCACTTACTGAGCTGTCCCTCGCCCCATCTGTGTTAATGGCTTCCTGTTGAAAACTGTGATGTTTCCATGGCTCTGCTGTTTCTCAAGGTTTATTTACCACAGTTCTGTTCGCCCCACATCTCTTTCTGGGAAAGCGTAGCCAGCCCCTACTAACAGTCATGGGCAGCAAGGGGCAAAACTCAGCTAGATGGACGTCCAACGGCCTTCGACATGGCCGAGGAATTACCGCCGTGACGGGGACTTGTGCAGAGGTGAGTCGCAGAGTGGCAGTTTTTCTTATTTAATTGGCAGAGCTGCTTACAGAACAGCTGTTACAAGCTTGCCATTTTTCAAAGTCAAGAATGGTCACATTGTCGGCTGTCCAAGATGACGCTTCGTGGAATAATGCATGGAGCGACCATTTTTTTCCGAATCCAATTGTATCATCAGGGTAATCACCTTTTCCTTTTAACCTGTGTGACTCTCAGAACTAACGACGGTCTGCTGAGTTAACCAGTGAAGTGAAGTTGCCGCACGCTACTCTCAGAAAACGTGACGGCGGCCTGAAAAGAATAATTACCATGAAGGTTGATTGCGCCGTACATGTTATTCACGCTGAGTTAGCTATCGGACCCGCCGATATTTCATTACTTTCATAAGTCACATCTGCATCATTTATAACACGAGGAGATGTGATCCGGGGGAAGCCAACGTGCCCCGTTCCCTGCCCTGCCTGCATATCTGCATGGAAATGGAAGGCAAACTATTGAAAAGTAATGCAACTGTCAAGACCGCTAGGGCGCCATGGTAACGAATGGCCTCTCGCATCCATCTGGATCAGATCTTTACAAAGCACAGCTCTCCGCTGATGGAAATCTGATCGGGAGGCAAAAGCCAAGCTGTGCTCCAAGAATACTTCATTATATATCGGAAATTAGTGGAACACACAAGATATTGCCTCCACTGGAAATAAATAGGCACGGCTGCCACTGTTACTAATCTAGCTGCAGGCTCCAACCTGGGGTAGTAATTACTGCTCTTTTATGGTGTGCTGCGATTTCCCCAAAGAGGGACTGCTAATATTTCATTTACAAGGGACCTTAATGCTAAGCTTAATCTATAGAAAATCCATTAGTACTGGTGTGAGTGTTCTAACTCTCCCCAGCTCCCTTGGCCGCCCTCCCACCACCCAGCAGGAAGGGCAGGAATCAATCCCTGTCTAAATGAGCTCTCGGAATTGAGTACATTATCTTGTAATAAGCACATAGTGGAATGTAATTAAATTGGCTGGAAACAATGTTTTAAATCAGCCACCAAAATGCAAGGGAAACCTGGCACAGGCTGCTGATTTGCATAGCCCCACTGCATGGCCCGCGATTGGTCACGGCTCTGGCCAACCAGTGCGCAGATTGGCCTGACCACACTGTAGGCATTCACAGCACTCTCATTACACATTCAAATCGGCGTGTGAGTGGCACTCTGTCTGGTTGGGTCACCACCGTGTTTAGGAATTCACATCAACAAAGCTGGCCTGGCAGATGCAGTAGGTCCATGTGGTTGTGCCCCAGTAGGATCTTCTTGTGAGCTCGCAAACTGACTTCAATTCACTGCACCACCCGGGCCAGCTACCCTGACTGCTGGGGGAAGGAGCAGTGTTCACCGACTCAGGTAGGTGGAACATTCAGTTCCCTGTTGTCATGTGGAAAGTATTGTGCATGTAGCAACCTCGCAAATCAAGAAGCAAGCTTTTACGTAATTACGTTAAGTCTGACAGAGGAATAAATTCTTCCTTTGTTGTCACAGCTTCCTTCCAACAGAAACTGTTAGCGCTTATCCTTGCCCCCGAGCCTACCGTAAAACTATTCCTCTCGCTCATGTCGGCGCATGGTAACAAGTTTGTTGTCCCTGTGTACCAACCAGCGCCCATTTATCAAGAGATAATTACTTCTCTAGCGCTCACAGGAGAGAGCTCTTGAACCACACTATCGACCAGAAGCCTTTTATTTCCTTGGTGACTATCTCTCGGCGGAACCCAAATGGCAGGAATCCTCCGATGATCCATGCCACCTTTTGCATCATTCCCGTAATAAGTGGATAGCTACGGTTGGTCAGACCCAATCAACACGCCGACAGCTCACCGCAACTTTCAGTAAAAAAAAAAGCTTCCCTGTTCTGTACTTGCCTTCATTACATCTCCATACAACTGCACAGCTCACTACCCCCATTAGAGGATCCTACTTCACCAAGCATAAAAAGAGCGTCTGGGTGCTCTTCTACTGGAGCTAAGCCTCTTTGTACATTAGACCCTCCTACTCAGACCATGGTTCAGGCTACACTTGTGCCACAGCTGTACAGAGGGAGAACTGGTCTCTTCATGATAGCTTCACTCAAATAGGCTCAATTTAGACAACTATCCCTGGGGTAGAACCAACTTAATGCAACCTCCTTCAGGACCAAACTTGTGCTGAGCTAGGCCATTAGCTACAACCACACAATAAAGGCCACTTTAGTTCTTCAAGAGATAAATTGTAACTTTGTTATCTTTATGTATGAGGCACTGATCAGCTTCATAAATAATAATAGCCAGTCGCAGGCCTAACAAATGGAAGGAGCTGGGGGCATGTTACCAGCTCTTTTCACTGGTGAAAGCCATACTCAACATACACATGTTCTTGTTAGCTGCTATTTGTCATGCATAGGCCTACTACCCTTGCCTCTCTGAAATCTGATCCTGAACCCTCACCCATCCCTGGTTACCAAGGAAACCCCTTGAGAACCACACCCCTGCATCATTCTCCACTGCATCCAAGGGCCGCTCTAAAAACTCCTGAGTGCCATTGTCGCTATACTGTAACTCGATGCGTGCAGATCGTGACATTTGCCCACATCGTCGTCTCCGTTTTGGTCGGCCTGTTGTCGGTAACTGTCCTGATGTGGTAATATAAAAGTTATTGAGAGTCGGGGAGGCCTCCTTGTGTGATGTCTGCCTGCTATGAAATTGGATCTGGACATCTGACGTGAATTTATCATTGCAGGGTGTCATCACAAGCTGCCAGGTCCCCCCCTCAGGGGCTCGTGTTACCGAGTGTATGGCCTGCTGGATGTGACTCCTCTGTCAGTTTAATGAACGGGCTTGTCTCGTCCCCGTGACCTTGCTGGGTAAGTGCGGCTGAACTCTACCATTTCCTCCCAATTCCCGCAGAAATTAGACCCTGTTTTGTGATCTGGGAGCGTGACAGGCAGCCACTCTCATGCCTCCTACTGGAGAGAATCAGGGCTATAATGGATCTTCCATGCTGACACATTAGAACTCAGGCGGCTGGGACCTTCTCTCATTAGTACTCAACCACCCTATGGGGAGCTACAGTCAATACCCATCAATGCTGGGCCAATACCACCTCTTTCCTTTGTCGGTGCCCCCTCTAACCCCAGTGCCCTCTATATGCAGTTATTAACAGTTTTGCTGACTTGGTGTTACTGCAAGGAAACACTGCTATGCACCTTACCCCTGGAGGCTTGTAGGCACTCACATCTATCATCATTGTCCTGTCCTTGCTAAGACATGCAGGTTGGCGCTAACACCTTTCTCCATGCATCAGTGGTGCTGCTGTGATTAAAGGAGGTTTTATCATCCCATTTAGTTCCCCCTCCTCCAGGATGGCCACACCTGTTGGAAAGTTTGCAGCTGGTGATGACAGCTGAAGCAGCTGGCACCTGGATAACTCAGGAGTGCACCTGTCACCGATGTTACGCACATTATTCCTTTGCTCCCAACTTCAATACAAAAGGCACTTTGAAGGTAAGACTTCCCTTATGGCTCAAGAAATGTAAAATGTTTACCCAAATATACTGTTCATTGGTATTTTTTGATGGGAAATGTTTGGGCAGCGAATAAGAGGTATACATCTGTATTGCCAGTACAACCGCCCCTCGGCATAACACACCAAGCTTCGCAGGCAGTAGTTGAAAGCAGTGATTTTTCCTGAAGATATAATGTAGATATATACTTGTGAAACATTTTGTAAGTCATGCATTTTCCAAACAGACTGTAAACTGAGGTTTAGAAAAGCAATTATTGGCTTATCTCTAACAATCACCACTCCAATTAAAAAAGGGAGGGTTACATTTTTGTAAGATGACCCCAAGATGTTTTAAAATGACTAATAATGAAGTCTGTTCCTGCCCTCTAACGTTAAGCCTCATCAAACAGCAACAAACCATCTTCCTCTTATCTATATCTTCTGGATATTGAATTCCGATGATTTCAAGCAATTCTTTAACAAGCCATACCAAGATCTATAAGTCTCTAAGCTTGGGGGTTTCAAGTTCTCATTTGGGTGCCTGGCTTGTTTCTAAAGGATCTAAGAAGGGAAACATCATTTTCTCAGAGCACAGATTGCAACTTGGCTGGGTGACAAACTTTGGCAACGTAGCCAGTTGGGGGCTTATTAGTTTCAGTCGCCTTGTTTCAGTAAGGTTTTGAGCTAAGCAAGACCACAAGTCTACGTATGCAGGAAGATTGTAAGTCATACTGATGACTTGAGTCGCAGCACAGTTCCAAGTGCAAAGCCCAACTTGAGCAGAAATATTGAAGTAGGCAAATTCCTTGCCAATAACAGGGAGGGATGCGAACGGGTAGCTCTAGCCTCAAGTGAGTCATCACTCACACCTAAGTTACCCAGATCCACCGAAAAATGGAAATATATTGCTCCCTGCACTCGGCAACTTTTTATTCATTAGCTGGCTAGGGAAGGCTATCAATCCGCCAGTGTGCTAATAGAGTGGGTTTAAATACAGTTACAGGTATGCCTTCCTAGAGCCACTTTATCTCTAATGCAAAAGTAATCACCGCAAATGGCAGGACTCGTATAATGCATTTTGCTGAAGGAGGGCCACTCGGAATACTTCACTCGGCGGTCTGGGCCAATGTCGGCTCCAGGAATGATGCACTTCTATTAACCCAGCGGAGGTTTCAGTTCATATGAGTTACAACACGTTTCATATTTACACATCCATGTGCCCAAATGCAACAATGATTGGGGGACGGTGTCACATCTTGTGAAAGGACACTCCAGTCCTCCATGTCATTATCTTTTTATATTAGAAATTCTATGAAAAATTACCTTTCAAGTTGGGATACATTTTTCTCCAGTGAGCAGACAGTTGTAAATTATGGTGGAGGGTATGGAGCAGGCATTCCTCACACAAACACTTCCTGACAGTTATAATAGATTCATCAACAACGTAGTAAGATTATACCATTGCCCAATAATCAAGACTGCTGTAATCCACCCTGTATTAACGGTACCAAAATCTCATGTTCTGAGGAGAGTAGACATGTTCAAAGAATTTTATCTTGGTGGTGGTGGCAAGTGCAGGGAAGGCGGCAAAAGACAAGTGACATGATACCACTAATTACAAGTTCACTGTACAGAATTGTCAGTGAAAACAGTGAACATAACAGTGCAGTGAAAAAATCGGGAATTGCGGTATTTCGTCCTGGCCTCCCTTGACATTTTTATGTGAAATACAATGCCAATGTTCTCAGGGTTAATTGTTTCATTTCAAAGTGGGATCCAACAGTGCTAAATTTCCCCTCATTAGAACTACATTATCGAAAGGCTTCCAGCCTAGCAACATCTGTGCCAGCAACACCGACAATAGCACCGCATTTGAAACCCCCATCATTACGGTAATAACTAGTGATATCCAGGCTCCTCTTCTTCAAATGAAACTTAACCACGGCTCACGTAAACTCGCAACGCTTTCCCCCCCCCACCAAAAATCGAAGCCCCGCTTACATTACCATGGAGAGGGGATGATGAGATAAATATGAAGTTACTGTTATCAATAGATAAATCAGTCTAACAGGACAGGAATCAAGCACTCCATTCAGTATCAGTCGAATCAGCAATATCAGGCCCTGCAATTCTCTCAGCATTGATTGCGAAAGCTGAATGCTATTAAGGCTTCCTTTGTTAGATGAGTCCCACTGAGTGACTTGACATAACTTGGCCTGGGGGAAATTGACGTTCCACAAAAAAGAAAAGGAGACAGATCTTGTGTTGCGAGATGTGAATCTCAATTAAAAATGGACGTCGCTAAGGCGGGGGTTACATGAGATATGCAAACTATATCTCTACAGGGAAACTTGGAGAACTTAATTGCAAATGTAGGAGGATCTCGCAATGCTTAAAGATTGGGTCTATTCATAACTTACCTTTGTTTGAAGTATTGAAAATCAGGAGATCCCTTTGATAGTGATAAGGCTCAGGAGAGCAAAGCACAATAACATAGACGTATTACCCATTAAGGCTAGAGATAGGCCTATTATGGCTAAATGAAAATCTATCACACGCATACTTCAGTCAAGGATGCAGGATCTTATCGCACACAGCACCGATATCAAAATTCTGCTGTCACATTAAAAAAGGCAATGTTATCATTCCACATCTTCTTACCTGACGGCTGCTTTTGTATCATATGAAACAGTTTAGTAAACATGACTTGTATCTTGAAGCAGAATAAAATAGTTTTGAATATCTACTTGCTATCCTAGAGTGAACTCTTCAAAACCGCATTCCATCTAGATGAAATTTTGCTACATTGTTTCTGAAAATCTTCTAACTGCATTTCTAATTTAGTTCAGCAACATTTCGAATATACTCATGGAACTTTTCTATTTTCTGAAATGAGAAGAGCAGAATAAAATCATTTTTAATATTTACTTCCAAATCACAGAGTGAGTGACACTTCAAAACCGGTAACCGCTTCCCATTTTGCTACATTGTTTTTGAAAATCTTCCAACTGCAGTTTCTAATTTAGTTTAGCAACATTTCTAATCTACTCAATGACCGTTTCTATTTTCTAATTCACATGAGCAATTTTTTCACAGTGAGAATAGTGTATAGTATTGCTGTACCTTGAGGTTGTTGCCTGGTAGGGTCCATGGTGTTGGGGAGAAGTGGCTGTGCCCCAGGTACACCTCCTGGTGGCTGAATAAAAAAAAAAAGAAGAGAAAAATTGTCAAAACAAAGAAATAAACACCATCTACATATCAAGCGCTACAAAAGGTTAATCATGAATGATTTCAAGATCACTGTACAGCATGAACTCTAACAGTGGTGTAATGAGTTTGTGGGCCTGTTTTTTTGTGCATGGTAGTAGGGATGGCGAGGTTACTGGAAGGATAAGCCACCACAAAGAGTACTACTGTTTATAACTTTTATTTTTAACTGTTAATTTAAGATCTGTGGCTGGACAGGACTGCTACCGACTTCATCACTTTAAACTGACGACTCATCAACAAAGTTTGTAAGGCGGGGCCACTTTGTGTCAAGTAGAAGTGACTGATGATCAGATTAAGTTCCAATCAAAATTCCTGGGGAGCGCTGGCCCCAGAACCCCCCCAAGCACCCTTGTAAACCAACTGTGCCGTGATTGATGCAATTCATTTCTCCAAGTGTACTTGGACCGTCCACCTGGGAACTTCCCCGCGCCCTTAAAAATGGCCGCCCTGATGGCTTTGAACATGAGGAGTCAAATAATGAAACTTTGATAGCCCGCAAAGCCTGCAGCACTCAGATGTGTCTTAAATTATCGCATCGCAGGCGTCAAAGCTATATTTAAAACCTGTCAATATGCACATATTATAGAGGTAAAATATTTTCCAGCCATAGCGAAGTGCATTTGAAGGAGCAATTGCCCATAAATAACAATAGCGGAGAAATTCGACGAGGCTCCTCCATAAAAACCAGACACAGTAATCCCACAAGTTAAGCAATTAGGAAAAATCAATGTAAATTATTTACAGCGTCCATTTGAAAAGTATTTGGCAAATAGCTTTTTCCTTTTGAGTACACATTTGACCAATTTAAAGGCGGCCCTCACGGTGGAGTGCTGCTAGTTGGGTGAACAGACATAATGCCATCAACAGCCCTTCTTCCCTATTCAGTCTCATCACAGGCTGAGACTTACTGATAATATGACTCCTCTCTGTGCTAGATAGGTTTTTGATACTGTGTGAGCACAGGCAATTTTCTGCTAAGGTGCTATTGATTCAGCGCTGATTTGCCCCACTAGAGCGTGCAAGCTGCCTCTGTTGCTGCCCCCCTCCCCCAAATTGTCCCCCCCTCCCCCTTTCTCTGCTTACAATGTACTGGAAAGACAGTTTGAAGATTGCACTGAAGGTAAATACTTTGTCAAGGTTACATAATTTATTGCGTTGAAAACTAGGATAGTCCAGCAAGCGTATCTTATATGACGCTGGTAATAAGTCAGTAGGTTGTAAGCAATTTTGAAACTTTGAATGTTCTAACACTCCTTTTTTCTTTTTCTTACTACAGGCATCTGAATATACTGTCCTAACAGGTGTGTTACATACACCCCAACTCTACTTGCTGTGGTCCGAGTCTTACTTTAATGTGTGTAAAGCAAGAGGACAGTGATGCACAAAAAAACAACATCCAGGTATGTACTTCCTTTGTTGTCCTACTATAGCACAGTTCCTGTAAGATGCACATTTTCCATTGAAAAGAGCCTCCTTGACACTATAGGTCTCTAACATTCCTAGCCCCTGACTTCTGGCATGGGGAATTCGGAGACTGGGAATGTTGCTGTCCCGTTGCCATTGGTAACCAGAAAGCTTCTGAATCAATGACACAAGGACTGGTTTTAATCACCCCCAGTCCTACTTGCATAGAAGTGACCTAATTTTATCCTGTCATGAGTTATAGCTGGGGTTTCTCTACATGTCTTAGGGGAGGGGAAACTGTGATGAAGAAAATATTGCTGCCTGTCAGGTATAATCAACATGGCATTACTGCCTGGACAGGGAAGGCTGGAGGGGAACAAATGTGTCCCTAATGCTTTACTGTATGTTCTTGGGGTGTCCTTGCTGGGCTTTCCCAATGCATCGCCCCTTGGGTGTGCCGTCAGAACCAGTGTACTGAACACCAATAATGACGGCCGCTAAGCTCGGATTTACCTCCCAAAATCCAGGTACTTGATGCCACCAATTTTCCAAATCCTCCCACTGAGTCATTCTTTACACCAGGCAACAGGTCCAGGCCCCAAGATTAACTCCAGAAGTCAATTAACTTTTCCAATTACCCAGGTTAATAGTTTGGCTTCCCCTAAGATAAAGAGGATAGGATTAAAGGGTGTTCAACATTAGCTACACGGCTCCAAGTTTCCAGGAGTGAATAATGCTGGCGGACCTTCTCCCCACTGGGTGCCCAATGGGTGGTGAGATGCTTTCAATTCTCCTCCTGTCTTTACAGATAAAAGGGAGACTGATTGATTTGCTAAGGGGAGAAGTTTGAACTCTTTCCCAGGCTTGGCATCACTACTAACCATCACCTCCAATTTTCATTACCTTCACCTCCAGCGTACGAAATCCTTTTGGGTGGAAAGAGTAGCTTTGACCGAGCGATTTGGCACAAAAGTTGTACTGTTCATCGGCCTTCACCCTCATAAACAAGAAAGGGGCAACTGTCGAGAAGTCAGATTCTTACTTTCAAATTAAGTACAGTTGCCGCTTGCTAAACCACTGGGACCAAGGGAAGAATTTAATAGAATATCATCACTAGCAGGAGTACTTTGAGAGCCCTGGAATTTAGAATAGAATTGTTTCCTCAGACTCTTACACATCTTCGCTTAGAGTCACATTTATGATTTAAAAAAAATTATTATGATTAACTGTTTGTTGGCTGAGAAGTCAGAGAAGAGAGCTAATAGCAGGAACAGCTGCCATTGGCATAATGACTGCTGCGACTTTTAACACAAACATGCGACTAATTATTCATCATTTCCTCTGCTTCATAAAAGGGATTGTCTGCAGGTGTTTTCTCGCAGCTTTCACATTAATTAGCTAGTAATGTAGTATGGAAAGGATGTAAATTATGCAGAAGGTGGCTTGTTACTGAAAAGCAGAAAAACATAACTGTTGCCCCAGGAGCTGGATTCACTGCAGTGTGGCCTAACAAGGCCAGGCAGGTGTGGCATTCAGCTCTAATTTCACAGGTCCACCAAAAGACAAGACAAACGGCTGCAAATAGTTCTTCTTGAGCAGAGCTAGTGGTGCTTGTAATCATTCTTACTACCTGCATTTCACCTGTCCTGTGCCTGCACATTTATCACGCCTTAACGATGCAGCTAACATCGTACAATTACTTTTCTCATCAACTGTATTTACTGTACTTTTCCCATCTCCTAAAGGTTCTCATCCTGGATCCCCAGTAGGCAGATATCAGCATATTTTCCCCCAAACAAATTTCTCCTGTATAGATAATGTTACCCTCCTGAAGGTAAATTCTAAATGTCAATTGCGTTTGGTATGCTCCCCTTATCAATTATACAAGACTGGGGTGAAGAGCATAGCAGGGGGACTGATGACAAGCCACTCCGAGTACACCATTTATTACCAGCCGGGCTCACTTGACTTTGGCTAGTTCACCTCCTGGGGTGTTCTCCTCTGAGAGGCGGTGTCCTTTAGACAACCCCCTCTCCCTTTATCGGACCCCCTGGAGACAAATATGTTCTGGTTGGGGGAAGAAATGCCATATTGTTTGGGCCAGAGACCTTGAATAATCAGATAAAGGAGATCTTCCAAAAGACTGCTCGATTTAATTAAGCATGGTTGGGATGTGATTAATGTCCCTGCCTGGCAAAGTTCATTTCTCTTGGTGGGTTTTGGACGCTCCAACGTATAATTTCTGCCAGGCTAATAGCGCTGGAAAGTGGCGGGTAATGAAGCACATTCTTCTGCCACAATTGCCCTGACACATATGCTGGCGGTGTCTGCGTGCGTCCCCTCCCTGCCGTTCAATCATCCCCCGCCTGTCCTCATCAGTTTCACCCGGTCTTGACGGAGAAGCGATCTGGCGGTAAGTCATGTTGAAAAGGTGAGCAGCCCTTCGTGCCAAGGCACTTCACCCCTCACGTAACCTGTGTTTATTTCCAGCAGTAGCTGATGCCTGGGAGCCCACATTTTCTCTGCCGTCTCAAACTCCTGCTGCACCTGGTAGGCAACAGTGTCTGCTGCCTTTTGTTCTGCCGTGAATCTCCGCCCTCTTGTCCGTGTCTGTTCTCACCACCGCCGACTCCTCTGTGACATGATGCTACAATTTTCCTCTCGCATTCTGTTGTCATCTTGTTCATCACAAGTTGAGACGAGGATATTTGAGCTGGCATTTTTCTTTGTGCTGCCATATGAGGGCTTAATCAATATTGCGCTGCCTCTTATAAACCCATTAATGTGGAATTACTGCTGTCAGGGGGGAGATTGAGGGCATCCTCTTATGTCTACAAATGGGGGATCAAATTTTTCACAGTCCCTTTGGTGTTGGGATCTCATTAAAGGGATGGCAGGAGTACAGGTTGGCTGTGGATTTCCTTCCCTCCTGGTGCAAGCTTTATTTCTGGGCGTCTCGCTACACTGTGTACTACGGACAGACCATTAGGCAGCCACCCCCGGGACCACAGCTTTACCCAGCCCTTCCTGTTACGACTGGAGATGATAAAAACGGAGATTCCAGTTGCCAGGCTCTGTCGAGAAAACTTCACCAGTGATTCTTCTTTTTGTCTGTTTACTGTCCTCGGCATTAGGATATCGAGTGCTTCAGATTAACGCCGTGCTTGCTTCTCTGCTTGCAGCATCAAAGAAACTACAGACGAAACTACAGAGGAAGGCGGACCTATCAAAGAAGCACCTGAAAGAAGCCTGCCTTGCCATCCGCTGCCTCCTATCACTCAGAAACAGGTATGTCTCTAATTATAATCATGGCCTTTGATAAATGCTATTACTTCTTCCAGGGTGGTATTACATGGTGCAGGAATGGTAAGAAGTGCACAGTTTCCAGTAAACCCAGACACTAGCAATTTGGAAACAAATGAGAGGCAACCTCTTATAATTAACTTGTTTGGCTGAGCGACAAAGCAACAATTTTTTTCTTGATTTGCTTAATAAGGCTGTTTTTCCCCCCTCAATTCACCAAGGGCCAATTAAGGGAATTGAGCACCCAATGAATCTGGCCATTTCATCATGTTTGGGAGTAGAAGGGACAGCATCAGGTAGCAAAATCATACCTATCATTCTTATACGCTCGCATCTTTCAACATTTAGGAGGCGTAACAAGAATTGATGAGAGGGCTCAGATCACGATCCTCGGGAACTTCGTTTGGCTGACAAACTGCTGTTTGGCCCAAATCCGTGGAATACCTTGTTAAGGCTTGCGCCGTGCCATCATAGCCAGGTGTTTCATGCCCATACCGCTTGTGTTTGTGTTGGAACAATGAAGGATTGGGGTCTGGCCGGTCATAATAGGCTCCTGAGGTACTGTAGGAGGGCTCTCCTGCAGCTGCTGGCCTCGCCTGCCTGCCAATTTATGGGATTACCAGAGGAACAGTTAATGCCAAACTGAACCAAATGTTAGGATTTATGGAGCAACATTTCTCACTGCAGATAAAAAGCGCATTAGGGAGGGGAGTGCATGCCCGGTGTGTCGTATTGTTCATCTGTGCCGACTGTGAAACAATCAGGAATTCTGCCTGGGAAGCACGCTCCGGTGTCCGGCGTTACGTTGGTGCACAAACCTCGGTAAATCACGGGGGAAACCTTTTGGCCTCCCCATCCATAAAGCTGCCGTGGCTTGTGCTGTCATCTTTCTTTTTCTGTGTGGAGATATTTTGGTAATAATTGGTCCTCCTCATCCTAAAGCACAAGTTACTTCTGCCTTGCACAACAGGAGTCCGTCGAAATGCCATGCAGATGAAAGTCATCCATCACTCATCCTTTACCTGACAACCCTCCAACAATGCCACAGATATGGGGCTGTAATTTACAATTAGAGAGATGCACTTCTAGCCCCATCTCTCAAACGTAATTTTGATGTAGCCCTAGGTGCTTTTGGAGCAATCCCAACTGCCCTATCTACTTATCTTCACTCTACCATCAATCAGTCGGGTAATACCGATCCCTTCAACCCCATCCAATACTAACCCGCTCTTCCGTATGACGGCCGACTTCCATTTCCCCCAAATGCTGACAAGGATTAAATCACCCCAATCAAAGCTCTAATCTTCAATAAGACATGTTAGAATTGCCTGATATTGCCTGGCTGCTGATATTGGTGCCGGGATTCCCCTATCAGGGACCGCCTCTATTGGCTGTAAACACCTGGTATGAGATGACTTGACAAGTTCCAGGATATGAGATGGAGAGATGAGATGTTGTCCAGCCAGGCGAGACAGGAATAAGTGGCAAAGAACATGTAGTGTGTCAGTCCTCCGTACGGCGGTGGAACCAGCTTTGATTCACATCAAGGGGGACTTTCGCCAGGCTGCAGCAAGGAGATACCGCTTTATTCGCCCCCATCTCAGGCGCTTCAAAGGGAAATCTTTTCTACGGCAATATGTCCTTCATCTTTGAAATTCACTGAAAGGTAAGCCGGATTTTTGTTGCTTGAAGAGTGATCGAAAATTGGGACACAAATGTCACTGGAAATAGGGTGGGGAGGGGGGCTGCTGCTGGTATATTGCTCTTCATTCCAGAGGAGAAGGCTGTCATGGGCTGAGCCATGGTGACTAATAACAGAGCATGACCTACAGGTGAAAGGTCAGCAGCAACCCTTCAAGGCTCACTTTTCTTTTGTTATCTCTGATTGCTACTGTTGGGATCCTGTACCACAGCCCATTCCTCTGCATTTATACATTGAACTTTGGAAGGCAGGGAAGTTTCAACCCCATTTAGCGGACAGACAGGCCTTATTCTCATTTCGACTGACCCCTGCACAGCGAGGGCTTGGAGTGGTGCCATTGTCCCTTTAACATATGGACATCAAGATCTTCAATGACAGACTGCCTTGGTCCAAGGGTAATGCCGTTTTCTCCTGATGTTTCTAATGGTCTGGTTTCTATCAAACTGTTGTACTTGCCATTTATCAAATAGTGGTAGTAGTCATGATCATAGTAGTAGTACTTTCCAAGCTGATAGACTTATTGCTTTAGGAGTAACAGCCTTTGCTTGGATTTGGTGTATGATTGAGGGTATGGGACACTTGTCGGCATATTCTGCCATTTCCTCATTCCCTCATAGAGTGGAGGTTTCAATCAGTATATGACATACATTTATGCAGTCTTGAATGTAAGCTGTTTATTTGCATCATTTGCATGTCAAAGCAAACAAGTAATTGCCTGTAGTTTGCAATGTGTTTGATGTTCTGGTGATCATTTAAATCATCGTAAAAACTCTTGTTACTCCGTACTCAGTTTTAGTCATACATAAAATATGTAGAAATGGGCAAAAACAGAGACAATCAAATATCTTATCAACGTAATTTTCCTCTTCTTGTAAAGCTGTAGGGATTTAAATTGCGTCGGCTGGAAATCATTGATTTCTGCAAACAAAGACTCTATGGGCTTGATCCAAGCCTTTCAACTGGATCTGTGTTGTTTTTGGCATGTCCTTGCTGGAAGGCAATATTCTATACCTTCCATATCCTCCTGGGTTTTCAACTCTGGTTGTGCCCATTAGAGGCAGGGACTGATCATGATTTATTGTCTTATTATCCATTTGAAGATTATAGACTCATCCTCTCCTCTGGGAAATGGTCTCCATTATCAAACGATTTTTTCTACCCTATTCAAAGACGGTCCTACTATCATCTTGTGACATTGGCATTTGCAAATAGTAAGTCAGGATCCTGCCCCCCTCCCCTTTATCAGCCCCCCCCCCTCATACTGTGGAGTCATTACTTCAGGTTTGAACCACACAAGAACACTTAGAACGTCATTTATATGGAAATGACTGACAATTTTAAGCAGGATAAAGTAAGATTTTCTACTTGGATGGGTCGCCTTTGGCAAGACCTGGGTAACTGCTTTGATCGGCCAGATCTCTGTTAATCAATATGACAGCGTTCCCAAAATACCCTTGTCTAAACATTCTTTCTCTGTATGACATGCTTGTCTTTACATTCTCTGCATGAAAAACAGCAACCACATGGGTGGGAAAAGTCGTCTTTATCATTTTGCCTGTTAAAACTCTAGAAATACTGGATGTAAAAGAGTCGCCCCCTCTTCACTGTGTAATGTAACTACTATGCATTTTCTCTTTTCTTCCAGTTATTTTCTTTTTCTTTTTACTTTTCTATTACTGTTGACAGTGCATGTGTGTGTTTCTAAACTATGTGAAGGATTTTCTAAAAGTCTGCTCTGATTGCCTTGTTACACACTATTGAATACTTTTTGTCTACCAACTGCCTAGAACATTCTGACAAGAATACTTCGTCTTCAGAAATTTCTAATCAATCAATGTATCTTCTATCACAGTCACCATTCATTTTCCTCACTACAATAACAAGTAGGCAGTTTTACTCCAAAGTAGCAGCCTGGTTTGAAACTCTTTAGGGAGTTACTTTGAAAGTTTGAGTCTGACAACTGTCATTTTTAACGGCTTCTTTCCTTTTATAGGATCAGTACAAGCTTATGCTGTTGAGGCCCAGACTTCTGCAATGCCAGACCAGGCTGTACAACAGAAAGGTAGGAGACCATGCTTCATGGCATACAATATACATGTCTGTTATATAACACATTACAAGCAGGGTTGTATGAGGAGTCAGAAAACATTGCCCTGTTTAGTGTAAACTGTAATACCACAAACATCTAGGACCCCCAACTCTTTGAATAGGTTGAACTCTATTTATTTGTTTCAACTGAAGGAAAAATATAAATTTTTATTGCGTGTAATGACATGTTGAGCCAATATGGGCAGATTGTAGTTCTCATTTCATCAACAATAGAATCTATACATTTATTTATTCCCAAGTTTCCCAATTTATAATATAAATAGCCCAGAAACTTGGGAATAAATAAATGTAATAACCGTAGCAATCTAAAAATAAAATCTGGAGTATCTTTAATGTATGCTATCTGCTTATGCCTCTACATGTACATGTGTGTTTACTAGATACATGTAGTAACAGCAATTATTCTGTGAGCATTTCATTCAATCAAAACAGTGGCAAATTTCTGCCAATTTCTTCGAAAACACACAGCTTTCAATTATTCCTAAGCTGTTATCCAAGACAGAACCAAGAATAATGTACTAATTTGAAGGTGTTAATTCAGGTTACACATTCTTGCTGACAATCTTTACATATGTATGTTTCTAATCAGTATCAAATTGATGGCAAGTTGCCAGTGAATATCAGAGCCTGACATTAGCAAAGCAGATTTCCATTATCTCAGGCCATGTTTAGTCAATCCATAGAAACTACTTGTCTCCAAGATGTCAGGATAAAGTAAGGTCTAATCAGTCATGTTGGGAGACAGGACGGGTATCGATACGTCATCTTTTGGCGTCACCCCTGTGTTGTAGTAATTACTGGCAATGTTCCATATTAAACGTAGGACATGCCAGGTGACCAGCCTTGACCACTGGTATTGTTTTTATAGTAGGGCCATTTTTATCGTTCTCGGAAAAGAAATCATAAATCTGAAACATTGTCTTTTTCGTATTAAAGTTTCAAGTGCTGAAACGATGCAAGTACACACCCACCCTGTTTTGGTGGCCCTTATACATTGTCAAGCACTGAAAAGTACAGAAAAAAAAATTTCTTGTGGGCCAAAGAGTGCATCACAAAAATTCACTGAAAAAAAAGAGACAGGCCAACAGATATGATGGTAAACTAAAAATGGTTCTGAGATACATGTAATTTCATCCCCCTGCAAGCTTTCCTGGTCCTCTGCCGACCCTTTTAGCATATTTTGCCACATGACTAAGGAGATGGATAGAGGGCATAACTGCCTTCTTAACAGATTCATACTTCACAAGCTAACAGTGGAGCGTCTCCATAAAAACGTGGGAAAGTGTTCCCATCCATCTGTAAGCTGATAAGGTCTGCTACTGAAACACCGAGGCCCATCAATTTACCAGCCAGCAATTATTCCACGTCTAGGGAAAGTCTGGGCTTACAGTTACGTACGTTACGAATCCCTGCCTTAAATTATCCCTGTCACGTACTACTTTGTTGCTTTTTATCCAGTTTGCATTGTTTTTTTGTACTTAAAGTTCAAGAGGGATTCAACAAAACAACACGTTAGAGTCCCTCATCCCATGACAAGTGAGATAAATGACTATGAAGCCAGGCTGCCCTTTCCTGATTCCCCAAGGCTTCCCAAAGCTGCAATTACATACAGTTGTACAGGGCTCCTACATAAACCATGGCTTTTTAATGGCACTGCCTTTCAACCTGGCCTTGGATTACCTGTACCCTGAGAGAAGTGCCAATAACAAGTCTGTGGAGACTAGGCACTAGCCCTGAGCGTGGGTACATACATGCATGCACTAGATCTAAATTTAGGCAAACTTCTCTTAAAATTACATCACCTGATCAATAAATTAACTGCAAAACATTTATCTTTTGTGAAACCAATTTTTTAAAATCATTTCTAATCAAATTCTTCTAAATTAAATGTAGCTCATTGGATCACCCAAGACAAGTTTTAGACTACTTCAGATTTATTAATTGTTAGCTTCTTTTTCATAGATTTACATTAAAACTGTCCGAGACAGTCATTGATTATCAAGTAATATTAAGGAGTAAACTAATTATCCAAACTGATAGCAGCCAAGTTAGCGCAGTCTCTTCTGATCAACCCCTCCTGCAGTGCTGGCACAACTGCATGTGTGTGGCCCAAGGGCTTTAGAAACGGTAATGGGCACCGCCCTATACACCTAGCCAAAATGTGGGGGAAGGACCTTCAACGCTTACATACAGGGTATTAGTATGCTTTGTATGGGACTAAAATGACATGGCACTGGCTAATTTTTAACACTGAAAAGTCAGTGGCCTCATTCCCCACAGCTGCCTTATGTAACTCTGTTGGGTCCATCTATCTGGGCTGGTATTTCTGTTTCTCCACTTTGGGTGGGTCTGACAGGAAAAATACTGCAGGATGATTAATAGTACCCCTCCCTGTTGGTAATCCCAGCCACATCTCCTTCCAATTTCAAGCCATCTCCATCCAGCCCTGGTGCAAGGGGGCATCCCTTTTACTGGTATCACATGACAGGAGCCTGCCAGCCCGATAAGGGAGCTTTAATTGAATAACTCCCAACTTTTCAGACACCACCAAAGCGAGTGTGTATCCCCACTGTGTACCACAACATGTGCCCAACACATTCACGCTGGCGCCAAACGTATCTCTCACCACTGCTTAATAAAAACACCTCTTACGAGAGGAAATTGGGGCCTCCTGCTCACAATTGGCCCAGCTTCATGCCTTTCCACACAACAAATGATAAGGTAATACTGAGGGGATTATGTGGTAATGCCTTGTTTTCAGGTCCAGGTGTTGAGGACAGATGGCTATGGGGGAGGGCTGGAGCTACACAGGGAGAGGGAGAAATGTTCAGGACACCAAAGGACCAGAAGAAAGATGATTTGACAGCTGCATGGACTGTTATCATCTGTGTGTGGCAAGGACTGTTTGTTGCGAGGGCCTCCTGAAGTTCCACGGTACCCATAACTGCAACATCTCACCCTATGGAAGGTTGTCTCTACACCTATCATCAACATCACAGTGGCAGGTAAGGCTTTTCTTTTCTTTCTTCTGGGAAGCATTCATGCACACATACATACTCCTGGGCCTGAGAATATTACTAACTCGGAATTCTTATCATTATAGATGGCGGAACACTTGAATTTAAGCCTTCCCTTAGTTTTTTTCTCTTTGACTTTCTAAATTTTGATGATCCATGAGAAAAAGACGTTCTGATCCGAGGACAGTCATGTTATTAGAGCAGCAGCAGTCTTGTGCCAGGCCAACTCACATCACTCTCCTCACAGTCCATCTGCTTTGTCCTGATCAATGACCGATCAATGACTCGTTGGAGACAATGATTTAATTCCTCCATTGTGGCCCAGACAATTGGACTATCAACTGTGTGACTAGTGATTCCCTCGGCCAGCATGATTATAGTATCTATGTCAGAAGGGCAACCATGGAGGAAAAACCCTTTAATTTTGCAGCAGAGAAGAGAGGACAGATGGTGTTTCCCACTAGGGCTGAGTTTTCCACATCGATGGTCTCGATGGTTTAGTAGTGTTCCAGGTATAAAAAGCAGTGAAGTGAGTGACCTTGGACTGAGGTGAAGCTTTTCTGATAACTAGTAGTGCGATGTGGCCTTACAGGGCTCATGTTTTTCAGTCAAGCACATCAGGGCCTAACTGAGGAGGCTGTAGTATAATTTCCTTGGGGGCATGTTAACCCTGGAGCTGGCCTGCATAGGCCCTGGAAACAGTCTGGCACCCAGGCTAGCCACCTCTAGTCTTTTCAGTAATTGTGTAGGGTTATTTAAGTGCAAAGGGTTGTGGCCTGAAGCTCCCCAATACACAGGGTCACAGGCTTTCATCCCCTACCAAAAAGGCCTAATGTACTAATACAAGTGTTGCATTTAGAGGTACACATGAAATTGTAACCTTGAATGCATGAATGTGTCTTGGAAGAAGGAACATTACAGGTAGGGTCAAGGTGTGTTTGTGAGATGTGAGCTTGGGAGATGAAATCTTTATTCCTTGTAATATTCCAGCTGGGATCATAAGGGCAGGTCTTTTTTCCTTTGCTGGTTGTTACTAATGGTTGAACGGGTCTCAGTCCCATGTGCTTGTGTTGAGTTCTCTTGTTATGGAGGGAGAAACGAGGTGAACTCTCAGGTGCTGCTACATTCTCTGGGCACTTCAGGTGTCAAGATGTCTACCCAACCTTCTGTGAGCCATTACCAAATCACTGCCGGTGGGACTAAGTATGTAGTTACATGTAGGTTGTCTTGAATAACATTGCCGGATCTTTTTCTAGAACAAAGTGGTAGGACTGGGATATACCAGAGAGTTGTTGTGTGTGTGAAAATACTTCTTGGTCAAAAGTGTGTATCAATTTCTTTCGTTGTTGGTAGTTATTTCTACAGACATGAACAGCTGCATTAGTATTATATCCATCTGCTTGGATGTTGGGGAATATGTTTTGTTATAAGATATCCCGAAGGATATGGTAGGTATGAAAGATAAAAGAAGTCAAAGCATGTCTATGTTATTGTTTCTTTTCTGGTAGAAAGAACAACATGTCAATCAGAAATGTGATGAAAGTACGACTGCCTCATGTGAACCAGGAATTGAGAGATGTAGAGATATGCAACATGTTTTCAAAACATTAACATCCAGTGTTCTAGCCAGCATGACATTTTTTCTATCATCCTGAGGGAAAATTTTGCAACCTAGACTGTCTGAAATGCAATTTCCTACATTTTGAGGGCAAATTTAGCTGGTGGACTAAGCTAAGTTTATTGACATGTTTCTCCATACCTTTACATGCCGATTGGTGTCTGTCTAAGATGCCAAATTGGGCAAAATTTTTGTCTGTCATGAATGGCAAAATTCCTTAAAATGACAGAAAGACGGCTAGAACACTGAATTAACATGCAATGTTTATTTTCTCTCTATCCTTTTTGTCTTTCACTTTTTCAAAGGGATTACTTTCTTGCCATTCAGCACAACAAAGACACTTTTTCACGCTCCGCTAATGACATGATAATTGGAAAGGTTGAAATTTTCTCGCCTGGGTGAATCCTGTCTGTTTAGTGTCAGACAGGTTGACAATGTCTGAAGGCACACATCATTTATCATAGGTGTAAACTGTCACTATGCTGGATGAATAAACAATTAGCTAAAAATTTAAGAAAAAAGGCAAAGATATAGTGCTTGTCTTTAATATTGCAACTTGTTCAACATAATGTATAAGTACTTTGCTGAGATGGTCTACCAGTAAAATGTCAAAAAAGTTCAGAGTTTACTAAACTTGTGCAAAGAAAGAACAATAGAAACCCCCTGAGGTGAAGATGATGATAATATGTGGGAGCACTCACCTGATTTGGCATTCTGTTTGGCATTCTAGGTCCACCTGGATATCTGGGGTTCATAAAGGGCTGCAGGTGATACAAACAACACAACAACACCAGGTGAGTGACACTTTTCATACAAAACTTGGAATCTATTTGCCAGTGCAATGAGTAACAATGTTATTGGTAGAAAGCAAATTTCCATTCTACTTCAGTATTTTTGAGGTAAATGCAAACAGATTCATTGTAGCCAGGGCCTATATGCATCACAACTTGACACAAACTTGGACATCTTTGCCTTGGTGCTATCCTTTGTAGTTACCATGGCTTTCTCCCCTTTCACACACATGGTAGCAAGTGAAAAGAGAGAACCAGTGGAAATTTCACAGGATGGCTATTAACATGTGCTGTTACAAAGTGCTATTTTACGACATGCTACTTTCTACATTAATCTAAAAATCTCCTGCCTATGTTCTCTACTTAATACCGGGAAACAGGAACTAAAGTAAAGGCAGGTGTTGGGACTCCTCCTTGATTTTGCTTAACTAGTCACATACCCACCAAAGCACATCCAAAAGGCCTGGTTACAATGGATTGGTGCAAACTTGCCTAACTAGGTGACCCAATACCTAGGGAACAGATTTTCCCTAACTAGTTTGTCTCCTTACTTGCTAAGGGGCTCCAGTGTCTTCTGACAGGAGGCAATCAGAGCAGTCCAGCACCAGCAAAATTAACGAGGCCTGTTTTGAGTCTAATACTTCAGACTTTCCTAAACGACCTGTCCTTGAAGCTGGATGATCTTTACTTGGGTGGCATTCCTCTCCCAACTTGTTGTTTCTTTTTCAACTGTTCTGACTCATTTTTTCATGCGAAAATTAGTTTATTGAACATCTTTGGTAGCTTTTGAGCATTTTTATTCTGTTATCCAAAATTCTACACTACTACCAGTATGAAACTAGTTGATTTTCAACTTAAGGCTGCACCAATTTAATTTGTTAGTTCCTGGATTCACCCGCTTCACCTTTTCTGATTAAAAAAAAAACAAAACATTTTAGCCTCTGAATCAACTCCAAAATGCTCATATTTAGGCCCTAATAGTAAAAGAAGTCCCTTCTCTTCAGAGTTGTTACAGTTTTTTCATGTATCAATGCAGTGGTTTGATTAAAAATTTGAAATTCATTGTTTGAGTTACAAACTAGCCTGGTACGTTGAATTCATGGCTCCTACCATAGCATTTTGGGCTATCATAGGATGCCTAGGTCTGGTTATATTTTTTTTCACCATCACTTTGTATTTTTTCTGAAAAAATCCAAGAACCAACAAATCAAATTACATTGGCCTAAGAATCAAAATTTTGGTCTTTTAATGACACACAACAGTAGCATTATCCTCCAATTCTTGAAATGTCACTGTTAGATAAATCATGCATTGAAATTGGAAAGCTTGTGATTAACTTAGTTTCTATGCGGTAACTTTTGAAAGCAAAGATTTCAAACTTAATTTGACTTCAACAAGAACATAATACAGTAAGGACTGTACCAACTATAGGGAATGGTTCCCAGAATTCCTAGCTGCTTTACAGTTTTCATTTTAAAAATTGCTGACTTAACACTCGTCATCTGAATCAGTGTAGGGTGGACAATTAGAACATCTACAATGCAAAAGTACACAGGGAGAGACAAAGTCAAGGTTGAGGAATTCCCTTGAGGTTCTGATCACTAGGAATGTAGAGGCAGCTAAAGCACTACCAACCTGGTCATGTGGCATCATGGGTCTTGGAGGGTGAGGTGAATTCTGGGAAGGCAACGGCAGGAAAGGCATTGTCAAGGGGCAAGTCACATCCTACAAGCGAGCACTTTTCTGAGCATAGCAGTATTACAGCTTGGCCACCCCCCTAAAATTTATGACTTTATGCATCAAATTTTGTGTTGGCAAACATCGGGCGTGATTTTTCGGCAAGTCAACAAGTCAGCAAATGAACTACTCTGCAGACAATTTGTTCTTGACATTAATAATTGAGTAGGGAGTTGTTGTGCCAAAAGGCCATAGTTGGAATTCCTTGCAGAGCCTTTGATAACGCAACACCTTGTTTGGCCTCACTGCTATGCTCACTGTTGCTGCCACCATTTTGCCTAACTCATTCACATGCAGAGGGATAATCTGTTGTAACATGCAGGGGAGAGGGCATCTGCCTAACTAACAATCCATTGGGGAACAAGCTCAACAAATCTTGCCCATGCATTATAAATAAATCATTTTATCTAACATGCACCGGCAAACCTTCTAGTTCACTACAAGTGTAACGTCATGCCTATTTCATGCAATTCTGTTAAGGTTCTTTAATGTTTTCTTGCGGGGTGTTCTCTTTTACACCACGTACGTGTATCCCAAGACAGACAGATCCCACATATCAAACAACAGGATCAGCAGACATCATGACTACTTGTTACTACTAGTTTTATGATCAATGGGGAAAAAGATTACATCAAGATACCGTGTAGGGATGTTAAGACATGACGTTAGCAGGGTTTCCACGTTAACAATATGATTATTCTTCCAGGCTTTACTGTTATTGAATGAGTAGAGGGGGTTTTGATATTGTTTGTATTTTTGTGGTTTTGCTGCCATATTTGCAGCACTGCACGTAAAGGGTAAGGAAAGACCAAGGGTTACAGTAGAAACAACCACTTTACAGTATAAATTCATCTTTGAATATTGTTACTTGCAAAGTTTTGACAGCAGCAGTTTCTTACTCAACTGCTACCTGCCAGACTAACTATCTGATTTTCAGTTCTTAAATGCTGGCGGCCTCATGGTATCTAGTTTCCAAGGGTCAGAAATGTTCTGTATCTAGGTCTTGGGTTTGAAGGTGGGGATGGTATGAAGCCATCTTGCCGTAAATATATGATGACCATTATTACCTTTACTGCTTGGCACCACACATACTGGAGTTATTACTTGCACCAAGATTAGGTAGAGGCCATGTTGGCATCATTCCAAGTTGGGCTGAGAATGGGGAGATGCCGTTTGGCAACCCTGAACCTCTTCACACCAGCAGTGAGGAAAATTTAGCTCCATGTTTCTAGACAGGTTTGACTTTGAGTCTAGAGACAAAAATTTGTTCGTGCGTGTTATGTCATATAGTAGACAAATACTACATAGGGATGACAGATCCATTTGACAAATCTGGGTTTATTTATTCTGTTATCTTCCTAGATTTTGGGACATTTTGATTCAAGATAGCCATGTTAGTATTCACTTAGATCGTGGCATTTAGATAAAACTCAAATCTCAGATTTTGTCTTTAGCTCTTTTATCACCTTCAGATGGTAAAAAAATTCCACAAATTTTTTCAAATCAAGTAATATTTTTGCATTAATTTTGAGAAAATTCCTTGCCTAAATCCTATTCTAGTTGGATATTTTTTGGTTCTATTTTTGATTATTCCTGTTCTAGCCCCAAGCTGGAGGTATTGTTGCTAACAGTTGTTCAGTTGCAGATGCAAATTACAAGTGGGCTGAATCTGGATAACATTCACAAGGTCACCCATCCTCCCACAATGCCCTGTACCACAGCCTGAGATTAATAGGGAGGTGTGCATTTTGGAGGGAAAATAAATTTTCAGCTGCTTCCAAACGTGCTCCTGTCACAAGTGAGAACGTACGCTGATGTCATATGTAAGTGTGGTGTACGTCTTCTGCAAAGGTGAAGGTCAACATGTTTTCGTAGTGTTGTTTGTGAAGATGTTTTGCTTCAAATTTGTTTCATTTGACGTTATGAAAAAAATTACAGTGAATACCTTTGGTGACAAGAAGTAAAGCTGTTTTCGCTTGAGCAAACTGACAGTTTTATGTCCATTAGATAGTAATTTTCAGTCGCCCACCTCTTGCTTCTTGTTGATCTGTTGTTTGTCTATATTCTTTTAACTTTGAAATTCATCTTCATCATTAACAGCCATTTTAAATCTTCAACAGACCATCTATCAATTACAGAGTTATTTTTCAAGATCTACCACTATACAAACTAAATTTGTAATGCAAGCAAATTTCTGGCAGTACATATGCTCCCTGTCGTTTTACTGCCAAATAATACTTTGGAAATAGCTATGATGTGTACTGGTCCATTCATTTCATTTTACTTCAGATACTTTGGAGTAATAGCCTGGACGCCTTCCCTTTTTTCCCCTTTAGTACACTCTCTCATTCACATCTCTAGCATGGTTTGTTAGGGTTCCTAAGCAGGAAGCGACTGAGAACACGTACTAAAGCTAAAAAGGTTCCATCCAGGCAATGGAGTGGTGAAATCAAAGCAAAATAGACACAAAGAAAGTGAAATAAAAAAGAAGTCTGAACCGTATTTGGGCCAAGTCATACAGACTTGTCTTTGTAGGCACACATACAGAGAGACAAAGAGACACCACCTTAGACGGGCAGTGGCTACATACTTGAGAACATCATTGATTGGACTGAAAAATGCCTATACCACAACTGAGAGACCAAACCTCGGAGGGAGATGGTAACTTTTTGATGGACATTCATTGTCTCTTCGCTATAATATAATTATTGTTTCTTTTAAGCTATGTCAAACATACTCATTCACCCATACTCATTGTGTTCTTCCACAAGCCAGTTGTACTTTAGTTTAAAATTATTCGATGGTAAACTTATAGTTAATGCTTTATTTGTGATGTTTTCTTTTATTGTTTTGTTATTTTGCATCCTTTCCTGTGGTGAGGTTGTTTCAAAGCGGGGGGGTGTTTGATGCCATGTTTGATTTGCAGTTTGTTGTTTGTTGGAAGCTGGGACTCCCCTGAACATAAGTGGTATGTTCCCATCCTCCCATACAGACCTGATTGTGTGGGATCATCTGATTCTGATGTGGGGGTGGCTGGCCATGGGGCGACGTCTGTGAGGCTGGAGGCTAACGGGAGAAAACGAAACGACAGTGAGTATGCAGTACTTTGGGGACAGTCTGGATAGAGGTTGGGTAAATACATTTTGTACATTCAGAATATCTTCCAGCCTGGCTGAATTATGTACCAGTGCATAGTGCACATTCTTAGCCAAAATGGTGAGCTATTAATGCTTTAACTTCCTTTCTGCTGACTTCTACTTTATTCCATGCAAAGTTGGCCATGGGGAACGTTATAAAAGATATCTGCCAGCCAATGTTAAGAAAGGGTGGTCTAAAATATATAGGGAAAAAAACTATGAACAAGATACCCATCTTTAACAAACAGAAAGAAATTTGGCAGACAACCTATCAGCTGTCTCACTTGCATCCACCTGAGGCACCTGGCAATGCAAAGGTGGTGGTTTCAGGTGTTAACTGCCTCTACAGGTGAAACTGGCTGGTTGTCACAGGTGTGACTGTATTGCTAACATACTGCAAGTGTGCAAAATTTCAGATAGCTGCGAACCAAGTAATGAAACCACGGAAATGTAACTCTCATCCAAAAGTTAAAAAAGAACTTTGAATTGAGTTCCAAATTGTACAAATAAATTAACCACATCTTTGTTAGAAAAATCCAAAGTCATATCAGACGTAAATTGGAAATATTACAAGAGTAATGATAAGTAGAAGTGAATCTATGTTCATGACTTACGACAGTTTATGTAATGGCAATTTCAAAGGTCACTGTATTTTGCGTCAATCATCACCAACTATGTGCGACAGCTCTTTTGTCAGATGTCGGCAATTCAAGAAATGCTTTCAAGGGTGAGAAGAAGTGGGAGTAAAAAGCGTGTCACGTGTAGAGCCAGGCCCCTTTAGAAAGGCGAGCCACCCCCACAGCCATTATCCCTACCACGGGCTGTTCATCCCAAAAATAGTGGGAAAATTTTGAATTAATTCAGCAGGCGACTGTGGACTATTCCCTGTCTGGGGATTTTGCCTGTTCTGCAGACTAGGAGACGAGTGTTGATGTAGATTTCAATTCTAAATTCTAGACCAAATCTAGACCAAATATATACAAGTTTAACACATACATGTAGGTTTTAGATCTGATGAGGGTTTAAAGATGTTGTTCAACAGGTGTCACAGAGTTTAATACATATTTCTTCATCTTATTGAGCCTGTCTTATTTTATATATCTTTCATTCAAAATTGAGATGGGGCCTTTGAAGGAAGTCCGTATAAATTCAAGTTACAAGATATTATGTCAGAATTGTTATGTTGTATGTTTATAAGTGGTGCCATGACTTGGATAATTATCTGGATTAATATCTGTACAGGCCTCATTGTTTGTACTCCTTAAGCTTGTGAAATTACAACTTGTTTGTATTTTTTTTCTTGCAGTTTCATTTACAAACATTTTTCTAAATTTGCAGGCTGTAGTTGTGTACAATATATTTCCAGTCATGGTATTATAGCCAGGGATGCCTTTTCCTGACAAACAAACAAACAAACATACAATTGAGAGGAGAAATGAGATCTTACCCCAGGAAAGAAACCGGGAGGCATTGGTCCGCCAGGCATAACGCCATCGTTGGGGGGCATGGGTCCTAGGGGGCTGGGAGCTGTGGCTGCACTCTGCTGGCAAAAACAACACACTTGGTAAGTCAATGTTGGAGAAATTCTTCTTTACTATTAAACTTTAACACATGATAACAATTGTCACAAACTTATTACATTATTTCACCAATTTCTTAGAGATTTATTATTCTCTTACTGGTATAATAATGAGATAGCATATCTCTATCTCATATCTCCTAGTACTAGTAGTAGGAAAAAGACCTATACTTTTACATTACCAAGCTTTCAATGCTAAGTTTGACTACATGCTTGAAAAAATATGCAAAATGTTGGGGTTCCTTATCATTGTTAACAGTCTTTTCTACACAAATTTTAAAAATGATGGACAGAAATAAAAACTTGGAGGAAGCTTTCGGTGGATCAAAAGGCAAGAGAGCTATGGCTGACTGTGCTGGTATCCCAAACCAGATGTCCTGGGTTCAACCCCAGCCTTGCCCCCCTCCCACAACGACGCTTCTCTCCATAGCTCTACTGTCTGACGTTGTGCCTATCACACATCTGTACATCTATAAAGAAAACATCTGACACATTTTCTGGCACCCTACTAAGTTTCACAGAGAAGGGCAAATCTGTATAATATTGGCAAGTTTCTGTCCACCTGGCAATATTGTTAGTACATAAGAAAATCCCAAGCATTGAATGAACATCTTGCTGTGTTGCATGCACATGTCTACACGGCTCCTCATATACGATTACCATGCTTGATCATACATGACAGACACTTCTGTAAAACCCACGATGATGCATGTTGCACCTGACTGTGGTGCTCCCAACTGAGTCCTTTCAGTATGCAGATAAATACCATGTTACAAAAGAACCTGGACCTGTGCTACATGCACAATTTGTTCCCCTAACAGTATTAGTATGTCCACAAATTGGATAATATGGTCCTTGTGGGTACATAATGACAGAGACAAGCATTTGTGTTGTAGAAAGTGATGCCGTTGTCACCTATGGGTAGGCTGTACAGCTGTGTACCTACATAAATTTAAGTTACAGGCACAGGTACAAGGGTTTAGCCTGTAGCCTGTACCTAAACAAGTTTGGTCAATCATCCATTAAAGCTATACATGTATCCAATACAATTTCTTTCAGTGGCAATTTGTTTCCATCTTTTAACCCCAAAACAAGATAATTTACTTGGTTTTCAAGTGCTAAATTATCACAAGTGTCATCTTTCATATCATACACAATTTACCTATCTTCGGTGTAAAAAAAAATGGTATCCATTACTAGCGTTTTATTTTCTTCAGCTACAGGTACCCCAGATGTTCAGATCCTGACCTGTACCTAAATAATTTTACAGGTACAGGTATTAGGTACACAGCTGAATTGTCATATTTACGATAGAGCAGGGACTTGTACGTCCGAGTGACGATCCATCAACAATAAGGTGGACGTGGTTGATTGCTGTATCCCAACAACCGATCCTGACTTGTTGTAACCCCAAAGTATGGATTTTTCATTCCCCGTCACCCGTTTCTCAACCTTGCGGAACAAATCGGCTGTGAGGTTTGACCAGACCTCCCCACATCTCGCCGGACAGGCTCTAAAATATTCATAAGCAGTGACCACACGTCCTGACCTCGCTGGCCACAGGGTCATAAATAACGCATCACTTCCTCCGACCTTTGAACCTCGATGACACTTTCCCTATGATTCCACTCTGTTTGTTATCTAGGATGCGATGAGTTCAAGTGTGTAAAATAAATAGACTCAAAATAAAATTCAACATTACTAAGAATCGCTTCTTATCTACACAGACCACAGTAGCAACCTATCCTCAAGCATAACTTACTATAGACTAACTCTATACAGTGTTCTAATGGTAATAATTAGTTTATAATAGGTGATTGTGTCCAATAATGGCTTATGAAATTAGACATCTTTTGGGTATCATTAAGACAATGGCCCGTAAAAGGACTTCTTGTCACTCTTGAGATCAATGTTTAGTGAATTAGTAGAATGCAGCCATCTTCATCAGTACTTCATTTACTGTAAATAACTTAATTATGTCTCTCTATATTGTAGATGTGTCCTTAGTGTATTCAAACCAAACTAGAAAGAAATAAAATATCCAAACCACACAAAGGTGAATGGATCTCTTTTCAACATAAGCACACAATTCACAAAAACATCTTGGAGTTCACACATAGAACAGTTACCACAGCATTCACTTCACATTCAAACAGCCAGATAAAAGTAGGTTGATTACACGACAAGGTTTTACATGACACATCTAGGCTATCGATGTATCATTCCAACTATCCTAGTTCTACAACCAATGGCCACAATAGGTAAGGCCACAATCAACACATAATTAAATTTGTGAGTTGAATCAACACCTTCAGATTATTTCATCAGACTATTTTACCATTTCTTGGAAATACTTTGATTGACGTGGGTATCATTAATAATGTAGACCTGTTACTCATAAATGATGCAACTTCAGGGTCAAGTGTTTACGACCTAACTTTTTGCTCAGGATTTCTTTTGCTGTTGAAAGTCTGTATCTGTATCACTTGGTCTTCGTATCTTTTTTTTCAATTGAACGATTCATTTAAAATTGAATAACAAGAAAATGAAATCCATTTTCCACTTCATAACATCTTCTTGGCACCAACAGTTCCAACATTTTGTTCTTGGTATGTTATATCGGAATAAAAATAACTTGGCTGTGCAACTTTCTATTTTAATATCCACTTCAAAACTGACGTGACAGCATAGTAAAATGAGGGCTGGGCAGGCAAAAAAGCACACCTTGCCAAGACCTGTTGTGTAGGAAGACATTACGGTACTGTAGCTGAACTGGCAACCTGCCAAGGTATTTGCTCAAAGACAGGCATCCCACATCTTCAGGCATAAATCTTCCCTCCAGACAAAATCCTGGTCTCACCTGGGAGCCGGCCTGCATACTGATGAGGCAGTGGTGGAGACAGAGTCCCTCAGGGAGAGATGGGCTGGCTTTGGTTTTCTCCAGGAGGCCTACACTTTCAACTTACACTTCAACTATTTCTACAGAAGTAGTAATAAGATTGCTATTGCTATGATGATTTTAAAATGTTCAGAACAAAAAAAAGAAGCAAAGGTGGTCATGAAGACTACTTCGCTTATTACCTTCGCCAAGAAGGTTATGTTTTCAGAGGTGTTTGTGTGTGTGTGTGTTAACACGGTAACTCAAGGAGGCTTAAATGGATTGTCTTGATATTTGGTACGTGGATAGGTGTTGACGAGACCACAAAATTATTATTTTTGGGGCCCCCTGGCAGCTTGTTATGGTACTGCAGCAGAACTTCTGTTTTGATATCTCACAATCTAGTTTCTGTTCTTACTCTTTGATCCTATTACCAAGAAATTATTATTACTGCCACCATTTACATAAATTTTCTGCAGAACAGAAGAATCCTCCTTCACTCACTCTGTAAATGGAATAGCCCTGATGTGAGAATGACTGAGGCCTTGTCAGATTTTGATTGACAGCTCCAACAGACAACTTTTGTGGAGAGGCACAGTCAGGGTCTGACAGCGGCTAACCAATGCTATATCTGGCTGTTAGTATCACATATATTACATGAGCAAGGAAGTAATTAATAAAGGAAATGGATCAACTGTTTATAGTGAATTGCATCCCTGTTTATGACCAACTGGTCCAGCTATAGAGACCACATTATGACTAACTGATCCTATTAGGTGCCCTTATGTGGACAGTAAGTATTCAATACAGGGCAGAATTCTATGTGAAGTGGCATGACTTCATAGCTTTGAGGACTCTGAAGAAAAGTCGAAGGACTTGGAGAGATTCTACTTACACTATTACACTTGTAGCCAATAGAATCCCCACACTAGTACCTGCTTATATAACCAATATTGAATAAAGTTTCAGAAGATGTTAACATCTTGCTGCCCTTCCAACAGTTACAATGGAGCAACATCATTCATTATGAATGAAAGCAAACGTTAGAACAGAAGCAAGTCGGGATAGACACAGATCACCGCTTTCATCTCTGAAAAGCGCTGTACACTTTATTAACGGTAGGACCATTACAAGAACAGTCGTTCAGATGGAAGGATTAGCAATGCACGCACAGGTCAGCGTCAAGCATGGGTCCAGTGGCAATGATTTACTGCCCCCCCCCCATGTGTAACATTATCGTTACGACATCCTCCGGATGACATTATCATAAACGCCACATTATACGAATCACGACAGAGGATCATGTTTTTTTACCCTACAGTCTGGTCATCCTGAATCGTTCCTTGAGCTTCTACATTTTACACAACACACAAAGATTCCACAATAAGTTAGAACTGGCCAAATCATATAATACACAAGTGACTTGTACTGTCTTAAACACTTAAAAAAACATTATAACCATAACCTTTATCAGATAAAACCTGTCTATAGAACTACCTTGTTACAAATTCTTACTATTTCAGACTCCTTATAACTGTTGTAAGAATGTTAGTTCTAGAACTTATGATGCCAACTATATTTGAATCACTGCTTGCTATCTTGCCTATTTATGTTCCCTTGTGCGTGAAAAACATGTGAAAAACAAAGCTTGTCAATTTGATTCCCAGACTCATGAATTCAATTTACACATTCTGGAACCCAAGCGACTGAAAATCCTGTAACTTTCAACTTCAAGACACACACGAAATTGATAAATAATTGAATACTAAAATCGGTGTATGATGTAGTGACGTTTCCGTGTATTTCAGCTGATGACCACAAGCTACGGGCTCAGGTTCCACACAAAACATGACTCAACATCGCATCATCATCATCACCCCGGAAGTTCCTGTTCCAAGAAACACTCTGGACATGCAAAGTGTCCATATAGTAGTAGTGATCAATACATTTAACAATGATAAAGCTACACATGATAACGGTGACGCTAAAAAAGATACCTTCCTAAAGATCTGAATGCTCAAAATGATTCAAATGATGTTGGAATCGCAAAAGTCACAATTCTCAAAGACCGTTGTTTTTACTG